GCCATCTGGTCCAAGCCCCTCCTCAAGCCAGGCCACCCAGAACCAGAACCAGTTGCCCAGGACCACATCCAGATAGTTTTCAAGTATCTCCACAGACGGAGACTTCACAGTCTCTGGGCAGCCTCTGCCAGCACCTGGTCACCCTCACCATCAGAAAGTGTTCCCTGATGTTCAAAAGAGCCTTCTGCTGTTCAGTGCACAATTACCTCAGGTGGGCTGATGTTTCTCCAAAGGGATCTTCAAGAAGTTCAAGAACTTTCTCCTTCCTGTGTTAGTAGCCTGACCCAGACAGCATTGTCTGAATTTATTCCTGATGGTCCCTGGCCTGGAGAAGTCCCAGCAGGAGGCTGTAACAGGACAGCAGAGGAACTGCTTGCTTTGCAAAGTTCAGATCATGCTGTTGGTATATTGGGATGGTGACTGATACTGGATTCCCAAGAGCAAGCTGCCAGGCTGGCTCTCAGGGTTTTGTAGGTTAACACATTATGTACATGGGGAGCCCTTCTTCCAAGGTGTTGGATGAGCCCTGGGTTTTGGAAAGCTGGCTCAAGCAGCATTTTCTGCTCTATCTGTGGGCGCTGCTGGGAGCCACAGTGGGCACTGCAAACACCATCTGCTACAGGGAGGTGCTGGGGTAGGGTAGGAACACTCCCCAGGTCTTAGATGCTGCTTTCTGGCTGCCCTCAGCACCTGGTTTTGCACATCCCAGCTGCATTTGCAGGCTTTGGTCCCTCCCCTGTGCAGGCAGATGTGGTATTTCCATAGGGAGCAGATTGTGCCTGGATTTGTTCTCATTTTTCATGGTTAACAAAATGATGGTGTCAGGCCAGGGGCTGGGGTGGGTCTGTGTGAAAGAAGCTTTTGTCACAAGGTTTTAGGACAGTCTTAGAAGAATTTTTCAGTGAAATAAACATTTTGTGTCAGACTCTCTGTGAGTTGTTTGAGGCATCAGGAACTGACCTGCCAAACCATGTCTGTGGGTCACAGCTGGGGCCACCTCATCTGCTTGTGACACCTACCCTTTGTGATGGCTGCAGGGGACACACGTTGGTGCTGTGGGGCTGGGGGTTCACTGGGGGCCAAGTTGTCATTTTAACAATCCAAAAGAAAATGAACAGCTTATTTGATTGGTTATGACATTACTCTCATTAGCAGTCAATGTGATTTGAGTAATAGGGTCAAATCCTGCTAGAAGTGCAGCTGAAGCCGTTGAAGGGGAGCTCTCTGGGTCTGCCTGTGTGCCCTGGGGTTGTGCCTCCCCTTCCCAAGGCTCCCTGGGCACTGTGGTTGCTGCTGCTGATCTTCCTCAGGCACAAGGCAAAGAATCTTCAGCACCCTAGGATGGCACCTGGTGGTGCTGGGCTGCTTTGTTCCTTTTTAATTCTATGTCCATTTGTATCTGGTTTTATATCTTTAGCCTCCCTGAAGCCTGGTCACACAAAGGCTGTTTGTCACCAGGGACAACCTGGCTCCAGCCTCGGAGCCAGCCCAGGGGGGTGACAGGCACTGTTGCCATCACAAACAAGCCAGAAGCAGCTCAGGTCCAGGCAAGCCCAGCCCAGCCATGAGTCTGCATGGTGCTGGGTCAGTGCAGACCCTGCAACTTCACTGATAGAGACAGAAATCATATTTAGTGGGCTGCAACCTCAGAAAATAACCTAAAGAGTGGCTGTGCTCAAGGCTGGCAGTGTGGTTGGGGTGGGGGTGGAGGAACCCTCAGCAGCAGTAGATCCCAGGAGGTACTAGAAGACCTTCCATCTCTGCACACAGGGGGGTTCTGTGCAGGGACAGCCCTTGGGCTGGGGGGTCAGCACGGGGAGATGTGGGAAGAGCAAAGGACAAGACCCCCCAGAGCTGTCTGTAGTTGCAGGTTTGAGAGGCTGGGAGAGCCTGAGGATGGGTCAGCTCACTGTGTCTGCTGGTTTCCACCCTTCTCAGCTGCCTGGATTCAGAGGAGAGGGTTCACCAGGAACAGTGTGGGCTGGAGGTCCACCTGCCCTTGTTTCTTAAAGGCAGGGAACTGCTTGGGACAGTGATGAATATGGATCTCCAGGCTTGGCCAAGTCAGGACTGTGGGGCCTGGTGGCCTGTCTGTCTTCTGCAGCACTTTTTCTCAAAGAATCATCCGATCACAGCATGGTTTGGCTGGGAAGGGACCTTAAAAATCATCCAGTTCTGACACTGCCATGGTTCTGACACCTTCCACTGTCCCAGGTTGCCCCAAGCCCTGTCCAACCTGGCCTTGGACACTTCCAGGGATGGGGCAGCCACAGCTTCTCTGGGCAACCTGTGCCAGGGCCTCAACTCCCTCACAGGGAAGAATTTCTTCCTACTATCCAAACTAACCCTGCCCTCCTTCAGCTCCTCTCCATTGCTCTTCCATGACTCCTGCTGTAGGTGATTGTGCCCATCCTGACCAACCAGAAGAACCACCAGGGCTGGCCACGAGTGGTGTCACAGGACATCATCTGTCATGTCCACAACCTAAAAAAAACTGTTTTCATGGTTGTTGGCCAAGTAAAGGGCAGGACCTTGCTGCCTCTTCCAGCTGGCTCGGAGGGAATTGAGGACATTGATCCGGAAAACGAGAGATTGTGAGTATGACCCTGTGTGGTTTTATCTCCTGAGTGGGATAGAATGGGGAGTTACTGCTTCCAAGGCAGGGGGGTGACCTGACCTCTCCCACTCTGTGTCCTTTCTCTCTGAATTAAGCAAGTGGGAAGGTAGAATAGATTCAGGGAGAACAGAGTGGGGAGAGAGAGACTTGCTGAGGGTACAGCTCTGCAGGTCAGACCTTGACCCCAAAGGGATCTGGTGTGACAGTGACTGGCTGTGCAGGGGTGGCAGCTGGCTCTTTGTGGGGATTCACTTAATGACCAATGTGTTGTTGCCCACTCTGCTGTGGAGCTTCATCCATTTCCTTCTTGCTGTAATTCCTGTTTAAAACAAAGACAAGATCTTATGGGTTTGATTGTTTTGTGGTTTTGAAACATGGATCTAGGCTGTCACTGCAAAATCCAGCTGCCCAAGGGGTTGTTTGAGCTGGATCCACATGGATGAGTGGAAAGCCAAGTGATTCATGAGGTATGTTTTGTGCAGCCTGGAGCTGATTGATAAATCCCTCGTCCATGCCACCGAGTCAGCCATCATTGACTGGAGCCACCAGATCCAGAGAGCCCTGAAGAAAGAGTCCTCAGAGCCTCTCCTGCAAGGCAGCAACCCGAACCCGAAGGTGGAACTGGAATTCTGGAAGAACAGGTACCCTGTGGGCCCTGCCCAGGGCACGGTGGGCACTGTGCTGGGTTGGGTGGAGGGACCTGCTGGTGCAGACAGAGCTGCTGCTGCTGTGAGCCAAGGAGAGCAGCTGCTCGGGGTCATGCAGAGACCTGAGCTGAGGAAAACTGCTCCCACACATGAAATAATGATGATCTCAAGGTGCCTGGGAACTGCTGGGCAGCTGGCTGGGTTTAACTGGACCCCAGCACAGCTCAGGGCTACACCATGAGGGAAGCTTTTTGGAAATGCTCTTTCCATCACTGTTTACTGGGAACTAGCCCCAGAGTGGAACTGATGGACACCTTCTGTGCCCTCAGCTGGCTGCTGCTGGGCTGTTGCTGCCAGAGTGGGGTTAGATGAGCCAGGGATTGGAATTTGATCCTGCCCTTTGGAAACCTTTGTGCCATGTTGGCTCAGGCTGACCCGAGACAAAGCCCTGCCTGCTGCAGAGCTGTCACTGGTGCCTGCAGAAACATCACATGGCTCCTTCCAGCAGAGCCCTGCCCCCAGCAGAGCTGCTCTCATGCTCACTCCCAGCACCCCTGGCTGTCCTGCAGGGTGGGTCCTGTTCCCTGTCACCGCTGGGACTCAGTCCATGTGTAGCTGGAGGAGATCCTGGATCAGGTCCAGGGGAAGTGGGTGGTGTGGAGGGACAGCTGGTGCTGCCCCAGCATGGGTGGTGACCTGTCTTGGCTGCTGCAGGTGTGATGAGCTGGAATGCATTTATGACCAGCTGAAATCCAGGAAGGTCAGGAACATGATGGAGGTGCTGGAGAGAGTGAAGAGCATCTATGTCCCAGCTTTCAAAACCATGCTCAGGGATGTTGAGGCAGGTGAGATGATATGACAGCTACACCATGATGCTGACTGCTGACCCCACAGCTCAGCAGCTCTCACCACTTCTCCCATCTCTTCCCACAGCTCTGGCCGAAGCTCAGGACATCCACCTGCACCTGACACCCCTCCAGGGCCCCTTGGAGGACATAGAGGCTGTTGAGTTCAGCAAGGTGAAGCCTTTCCTGGTCCCTCTGCTCCACATGGTGTGTTGGATCTGGGTCACTTCCAAGCACTACAACGTAGCTGTGAGGATCATAGTTCTGCTCCAGGAAATCTGCAACCTGCTCATCCAGCAGGTGTGTGTCTGTGGCACCTGTGTTTGCCACAGGAAGTTCTTTATGAAAGTCTCTTCTTTCCTCCTTTCCTCCATCCTTCCCTGGCAGAGTGATTCTGAATTTCAGAGGCAGGGTCAGACATGTTCAGTGCAAGAAGTCACTGTTTGCTGTGCTGGCAGAAGTGACCTCTCAGGTGTGATTTTGCTCTTCCAGGCCGTGGTGTACCTGTCTCCAGAAGACCTTCTGAAAGGAGAGATGGAAGAGAGCCTGGGCAAGGTGCAAACAGTGCTTGACATCCTGAATGGCTTCAAAGGGGTGTTTGAGGAGAGGCGGGAAAATCTGCACATGTATTATGAGCCAGGCCAGGAAGTGAGGAAGTGGAACTTCCACTCCTGGATGGTGTTTGCAAGGCTGGACAGCTTCCTGGAGAGGCTGGAGGTGGTGAAGGTGAGACTCTGGTCTTGAAGAGTATTGCAAGCCATCAGGAGAACTCTGTAGTCATGAACTCATTCGCTGGTATCTTCCCTCCCTGTGACCTCCTCTGATGGCAGGGAATGGGGCTGCTCTTTGCACTGTCCCATCTCCCATTGCATCAAGGCCAGGACCTTGTTTGACCAGGTCTTGCTCAGTGCATTTGTCAGATAAACTGCTGTGTCCTTCTGCTCAGGTTGGTCAGTGCTCCCAAGAGTCCTCTTGGACTCCGTGCTCCTGTTGAGCAGGGGATGGGGATTTGGGGGCTGTAAATAAGCCAGTACAAACTCCTGGGCCTCTTGTGGCCTTCAGAGACACTCTAGGGCTGGGTCTTGTCTGACTTGGAGAGGCCACATGCTCCCCTTGAGCCCAGGCACCACTTGGTCTCTAAGGTCTCCCCAGAGCATTCTTTTCTTGAGGCTGAACAATCCCAACTCTCTGGAATTGATGGTTTTCAATAGGATTTGGTGTGTAGGTAACCAAACTGTGCTGGCTGGTGCAGAGAGTAGTATCTGTGGTCACAGGGGCAGCTGTGTCCTGGACTGGGACCCCTTTGGCAGCCCCTGTCTGGGAGGTGCTGCCCAAGTGCTGTCTACCTGGGGGTGAAGCTCCATACCTGCTCAGCTCAGCTTTTGGGGTTGTCCCTGAGCTCACAGCAAGCTGGACAGCCAGCAGGACATTCCTGTGCTGGAGATCAGAGCATTTCTCCTGCTCCTCTGGGAAAGCAGACCTTGTTTAGCCTGAGCAAAAGGAATGGATGGGGTGTGGGGGGCAGAGCTGCCACAGCTGGGTCAGTGGGGCACCTCCTGAGAGCTGGCACTGTGGGACCAGGCCCTGCCCTGCTCCCCTGCCACCTGAGGTTGGGAAGGAAGGACCTGTGTCCTCCTTTCAGCAGACAAGGCCATCTAGGCAGGGGCAGTGACACCTGTGTGGGCACAGGGAGCTGTGGCTGAGCAGGAGCCTTGGGCAGTTCAAGTACCTGTAAATATCAGAGGCCCCTTCTTGGTTAATACTCCTAAAACTGGGATTCTTAGCTGTGCTGGATGATGTCTCAGGGTCTCACACGTTGCTTTGTTTCAGTCCTCTAAACACCCTTAAAAACAATTGAAGGTGTATTGCTGGTGGCAGCACATGGCCCTCTGGGGAGGGGTGTGCTGTGAGCAGGGCTTGGCCCAGGACAGGTGGGACCTGGCTCCCCATTCCCAGTTGTGTCCCTCCCCTGTGGTGTGCCTGGGGAGGTCCTTCAGCAGGGCAGCAGACACAGCACAGTGTTGTGACAACTGTTGTCATCTTCTTTGTCCCCACCTGACCCTGTGTGTGCCCCCTCTGGCTCTGCAGGGTCTCCTGACCACGGCCTTGGACCTGACAAAGCTGGAGAAGATGGAGTTCAGCGGGATTAGAGGGAGGGCCCTGGGCCAGCAGGTGCTGGACATGTATGAGGAGTTCCAGGAGGCCTACAAGGTGTTTGCAGAGCGAAGCTACGACTGCCTCGACCTGGCCAACATGGTAGGTGGGACCAGCCTGCAGAGGCACCAGCAGGACATCTATGTTCCCAGAGCAGCAGCTCCCTCTGTGATGGAGCCCTGGCTCCTGCTGGCTCCTTCCCAGCTCATTCCTTGTGATCTGATTTGTCCCTGAAGGGAACAGGGCCCTTCCTGCAGAGATTTGGGAGTTCTTGCAGCTCCATGTCTGGTATACCTTGCTGGTTCAGGACCTTAGACCAGTGCAGATGGGGAACCTGAATTCCCCTGCCTTTCCCCATCTTTCCCTGCTGGTGTGTCTGACCTGTGCCAGCATCCTCATCCCTTTGCTTTCCTGCTTTCCTGCTTTGGTGCCTGGTTTTATGATGAGGGCCAGCTCCACAGTCCCTGGGGATGTGATGCTCCTGTCTGGATAAACATGTGGCATCTCAGCTCTCAGAATTCAAGGACTCTGTGTTTGACTATCAGTAGTGCTTTAATTAAAGGAATATTCCCTGCCCTGTGGGTCATGGTTCCATGGCCATGGGGATCACAGATACTTGTGTGGCACACACAGGGCAAAGCCAATGTGCCATGGACAGCCAGACTGCTCAGAGCTCCCGTCCCAGGCTGTGACACCAGCAGGAAGCTGTGCAGGAAGGGTGGGAATGGCATTTCCCAAGGGATCCATGTCCCACAGTTGTGTGGGATCTCAGAGGATCTCTGATTTCCTCTGCTGCTTCCCCGTTTGCCCTGGGGTCAGTTTGCTGTGGCTGGTGAGCAGGACATGGTCAGGCCTCTCCCACACCTGGAGGAGGGAGGGACAGAGCTGGGGTGGTCTGAGGGCAGTTCTGTGTGAGGGGCTCCAGGTTACACTGGGGCACTGGGGCAGCTGAGGGGGGGCTGGGCTGGGCTGGGACCTGGGGCTGGGAGTCTTTCCTTTGGTGGTGGGACCTGTCTGCTGTGGGGATGGATGGCTCGTGCTTTGCTCCCTGTAGCTCCTGGTCCACCTCTGCAGTGGGTGCCACATCCCTGGTGCTGCCTGGGACAATCCTGCTGGAAAGCCCCTTGCTCCATGTTCCCTCTCCTTCGGGAGGGAGGGCTCTGAAGGAGGGTGACAGTGTGACAGTGGCTCTGCAGGAGCTGGTTTGGTTCCAATGAACCTGTGGTGTGTTGTGTGACTCTGAGCTGTGCTTGTTCTCTCAGTAGTTGAGTTTTGTACCCTCTGTTACTCTCTAGAGCCTCTTTTTCAGCTCAAACGTGGCATCTGTTGGTGCTGGAGCTGAGCAGTGATACCAGCAAAAGCTGTTGCCTTATGCTCTCTCCTTCCAGAAAAAAGACACATGGCCTCATTTTTGGTGGCTTTGACCAAGGCAGGGCAGAAGCCCTGAAGTCTCCCCATTTGTCAGGTTCACACTTTGATTTGGACTCTTTTACCTGCAGGAAAACAAACCTAGATTTTACATTTGAGCTTCAAAGGATTTATTCCAACTGGGGCAAGAAGAGCAGTGCCAGAGGCTGATGGGAATCACAGGAACACAGAACTGCTGAGGTTGGAGAGGACCTCTGGAGATCACCTGGTCCACCTCCCTGCTCAAAACAGACACAGCTGGAGCAGGGCTGGAACCAGATCGATAACTCCAAGGCTGAAAGTGTCCAAGAGGGGGAACTTTGCAGCCCTCTTGGGCAGCCCATGCCAAGTGGTTTGGAACTGCCTTTGTTGTTGCCCCACTTGGAGTCACCTGACTAACAGAACCATGGGGATGTTTTGGCTTGAAAGTAGATGGGATTTGCAGCTCAAGTGCATCTCTGGGGTTTTTGGATGATGGTGTGGTCTTCAGATCAAGTGCAGGGTAAGAGAGTGTGGAAAAAGGTTTGTCTTGCATCTAGGTTGAAGTTAGTACCCATTGGACTGTGGATCCATCCTGGAGGGCCTTGGTCCAGCCATGGGACAGGAGTGTCTCAACTCCGTGGGACTTGGCTGGAGGTTGGCCAGAGGAGTGGTTTAATTCTTGGTGAATAATAAGAGGAAATATCTCGCTGGTCTCTGTGTCTCACAGCTCACTGTCCCCCTTCCCCCAGGAGTTTGAGCAGGATGCCTTGGGTTTCCAGCAGAAAGTAGAAGACATCGACCATCGGCTGGGCACTGTGTTCACCCAGGCCTTCGATGACACACTGGACTTGGAGCACATCTTCAAGGTTGGTGTGTCTCCTCCCTTGTCCCAGTTTGCCTTGGGGAGTGACAACTGGCCTGTCCCAGGAAGTGCTGGAGGCACATGGGGCTGGACAGGGGGACAGTGACACTTGGAGCTGCTGGGCTGGACTTGGTGAGTGATGCTCAGGCCTGTGAGTCCCTCATGAGCTGTGCAGCTGGGTGGCTGTGGAAACCTTGGGAGTGTTCCTGCTCTTCCCGTTAAGACACAAACAGAGCAGACCTTTACTCAGTTTGAGGAAGAGTAGTCAAAGGAATTACTCAAATCAGGCTTTGGGATGCCATAAGTTTTACTGGTCTCTCTGTGAGCTGGAGGAAATGATGCTTTGTCCAGGATTTTCAAGGCCTGGTTCGACAGGGCTTGAAGTAACCTGATCTAGTGGAAGGTGTCCCTGCCCATGTCATTGGGGTGGAATGAGATGATCCTTAAAATCCCTTCCAACCTAAACCATTCTGTGATTCTCTGATTTCCTGGTGAGAACTGCTGTTGAACCCAGATGATCATTGTTAATATCAATTTGTTGTTTTAGTTAACATGTGGATGCATTTCGACTTTGAAAACTGAGGTTTTTTTAGAAACGAGGCTGGTTTGTTTACCAATGAATCCATCCTGCAGAGAAAATAAATGTTTTTTTCTGAAAAATTTCAATATAATTTTAGAAAAGACTGTAGAAAGTGATAGAAGTGCTAGTATTTATATTTCTGAGGGTTTTTTTTAATAATAAATTTTGAAGCATTTGAAGAATGACAGTGTGAATATGGTTCTCCCCCAGAGAAAGTCTGAGCATCTCTCATAAAGATATTCTCCATGGTGTGGTTTAGTGGGCACGGTGGGATTCGGTCAAAGGTTGGACCTAATAGTCTTGGAGGTCTTTTCCCACCTTAATGATTCTATGAAAGGGAGGAATTACTTGGAAAAGCAGGGGAAAAAAAATTCCCTTTGCCAAAGTGCCCATCAGTGCAGACTTTTGGGCTACTGAGGAAGATGAAGCATCTGGGTCAGTGAGGAAAATCCCAGTGGGTCTCTTTGCAGAGGTGTGAATATTTCCCCATTTCTTTCCCTGCTTCCCCCCCTCCTCAGTTGCTGAGCATGTTCCAGAGCCTTTTGGAGCGTCCGGTGATCGCTGCAGTTGCTGCTGACAAATGGCCTCTTCTCATCAGCATGTTCAGCACTGCGCTGGACCAGACCAGGCTCATCTACTCCAGGCACACCCAGGCAGGGCTCGAGCTCGGTGGGTGCCCTGTGCTGAGGAAAACTGACTTTACAGAAAATTGGATTTCCATTAATTTTGGGGGAAAATAATTTGCTTTTGCTAAGGAAATCAGGACTTCCCAAATTGCAAAGGTTTTCAGCCTCTATAGCTCCCTGCGGAAATGGAAATGTCTGGGAATACTCTGTTCTTGGCATTAAAGCAAATAATCTGTTGAAAATATCCTTTTTTAAAGGTGTATGTGTGAGTGGGAATGAGGGCACGTGCTGAGCTTCTCCCTTGTAATGCTGAGTATGGAAGGGGGACTTGGGAATTAAGGGTTTTGGCACAGGAGGGAATGGGGAGACTCCTGTCAGATTATGAGGATTAGTGTGTTTTTTTGAGCAGCAGCCCTTTTCCTTGCCTCAGGAAGACTGTTCTGGAACCAGGCAAGTCCTGGAGAGGCAGCACTGCTGGAACCAGTGCAGGTTAACAAAGGACAATGAGTCCAGAATTTGCTGTGGATTTGGGGAGTGTTGTTCTGTGGGGGTTAGATGGGATAGTCACAAGGAGCTCCTGGGCAGAAATCCCTCCCCTGGTGTTTGTGGGGAGCAGGGAATGCACCCCAGGCACAGGATGCCTCGATCAGCTCTGGTTCTACCACACGCTGGGCTTCTCCTGGGATCCCTCATTTAGGGTCCAGAGGCACAGGGGGATTTGTCCCAGACCTACATCATGTAGCAGACATTGGATTTCAGGGAAGAAGCTGGGAAACCAGGGCACTTTGTGCAGATGGATTCCTGTTGGTGTCTCTTTGGGATTACAGTGCCTCTTGGTGTATCTTTGGTGTATCTTTGGGGTTCCAGAGCCTGTTGGTTTATCTTTGGGGTTACAATGCTGTGTTCAGTGAAATGCTGTCTCTATGTTCCCACCAGGGTCTCCCCCCCTGCACAAGAACATGCCCCCCGTGGCTGGAGCGCTGGGCTGGGCTCGGGAGCTGCGAGCGCGGATCCAGAGGCCTTTTGATCACCTCAGGCAAATCCCACACCTGTGAGTGTCTGCTCCAGATAAGTTGCTTTATGACCATCTTGAAATCTCGTCTCCAATCCATCCAATATTCTTTCTGAGTTGAACGTTACCCAGTGGTTACAGCTCGAACAATCCTCAGTGGAAGAGGTGTGAAGTGAGTGCACTGGTGCTGTTTGCTTCCCTGCCATCTTTTTTTTTTAAAGAAACTCATTAATTGAGTTTGTTTTGAAGTGGGTAAGAGGCACAGTGGGGTAGTAGATGGACACTTCAGCTTTTAAACCCAGTCCTAGCTTGCAATTGAAAGAAGTATTGGAATGAGAACATGATGCTGATAACACCAAGGTCATGGGTCTGATGTATGGGCCATTCATTTTAGAGTTGGACTTGATGATCCCTGTGGGTGCCTTCCAACTCAGAATATTCTGTGATTTTGTGAGAATCTTTCTCACTGCAATCCCACTCAGCCTGGTCTCCAGGACCTCCCTGGGAGCAGCCCAACCCTTGGGTACTGACAGAAGTCAACTTTCTCAGCATTAGTCTCCCAAGATCCAGAAAATGAACCAGTGCTGGAATTCTCATCACCCAACAGTCATTCACCCAGCAGTGATCTGCCTGCAGTCTGGTGGGGTTTCTTGGGAAGGGGTAAATAGAGATTGCAGCCCGTCAGGACTAAACATAGCACTGAGCTGGTCCCTTGTGTCTCCAGGAGCTTGGAGTCTGCCCAAGGAAGGAGGGTGGTACAGAAATATGAGGAAATGATCCAGCTGCTTGACAGGTAAGTGGGGCTCAGGCCCTGTGTGAGAAAACCTTCTCCTCCTCTAAGCTACCTTCCAGCACTTATACCAGCCCAGGCCCTGGGAATGTCTCTTCCTAAGCCAGAGGGAGTTTTCTGCTGGGAGAGGAGGAGGGATCCTGTCACTGTGCACCACAGACTTCCTGGGATGGCTTGAAAGGAGAATTCTGCATGGGAGGAACAGGGGCTGTGCAGCCCAAAGAAACTTTGGAAAAAGCTGCTGTGGGATGTAGGAGCTGCTGTGGTAGAAGCCCTGGGCTGGGCAGAATTCTTTGCCCGCTCATGCCCACTCACTGACGGTGTTTGCAGTGGCTGTAATGTTTATATTCCGCAATTTGGAGTGGGAGACATTGCCCATGACTTGGCATCTCAGTGTTTCGTGTTAAAGCTGAACTGGTTGCTCTGGGCTGACCCTTCAGGGGAGCCTCTTCCCCAGGGAGGAGATCCCTGCAGGGCCTCATCCCTGTCAGCAGTGAAGGCAGCTGAGGCCCCAGGCTGCTGGGTCCTGCAGGGTGGATGGAGGGAGCCCTGTGCCCCAGCACCAGAACAAAGGCTGGATAATGGATAATTTAGCACAGCCCTTCAGAAGGGAGCAGCCCCAAAGAGGGTCTGGGTGACCCAACAGAGGTGCTGGTTTTTGGTGACATTTCCCAACCAAGGTGCTCAGATGACAACGATTCAGAAGAGACTTTGTTACTTGGGTGGTTGGGACTGTCCATGACATGTGAGGTACCAGGCCCCTGTTCTGCCCTCTGTGTTCCCATGCCAGTGGTGTCAAGGTCTCTCTGTACTGACTGGGAGAAGTGAGGGCAGCTGCAGCCACCCCCAGCATCCCTGTGGGTTTGTGGCACCCACCCTGCTTAAACACTTCGGAAATGCCCATCAGCTGCTGATCTGTCACTTTTTAAATGCTTTGGAAAGTCTGTCTCCAAATCCGAATCCTCTGCTAAAACTGGTACTTGAGGGAGCTTTGTCCTCCTGCCTTGATGCTGTCACTGGTCTTTGGATGTTTATCTTGGAAGCCATGATTTTTAGGAAGATGGCATGGATGAGTTTTTAATATTCCTTCATGGTTTTAATCCTCAGATTGGACAGGGCTTCCATTCAGTTACATACCATGGTCTGCTGTCTTGGTAACCACATGGTGATGTTTCTCTTTTCTGTCAGGTATCAGGAAAAACTGTATTTAGACTGGTCCCAGACAGTCTCAGAAAAATCCCAGTACAACCTGACTCAGCCGCTCATCCGGCGAGACCCAGAAACCAAACTGATCACTGTCAACTTTGATCCCCAGGTAAGAACTGCTGCCACTCTCCTGCCTCTCATGTCCCCAGGCTGTGCCCCACTGTGCAGAGGTCTGGTGGGGTTGGTACCAGGTCTGTTCTCTGAGGTCTGTGGAACCCTTTCTGTGGTGGGTGACATGGATTTGCCATCCTCTTCATGGGCTCTGTTTCCTGGAGAAATATCAGGATCACAGTTTTAGCAGAGCAAATTCTAGTCAGAACCAGTGGCAGAAAGTCCCTGAGGAGCCAGGTGTGTAACGTGTCAGCCCATCTAGACCAGTGTCAATACTGGTGTGAGGAGTGTTGGGACATCATCTCCAGAGGTGGGTTTATGTTATGTGTACCTGAAACCTGAGCTTCTGAGAGGGTGTAAAACACCCAGCAAAGGTTTGTTTTGTGACTCCAGTGTTTCCTTCACTGCAGAGCATGAGGCTGATGATAGATTTAAGTTCTGTTCTGGGTCCCCTGGAGCAGGAGCAGGGTCTGAGCCAGCAGTGAGCACAGCTGGGCTGAGAGCTTCTGGGCCCTGGTGGGAGCCAGGGTCTGTTGGCTGTAAAAACGCCCTTTGCTGGGAAGGAGAGGAGTTGCAGTGGCCTTGGAAACGCTGGCATCCCAAGCTTCCCCTATCCCTGCGGCTTGCTACTGTCCAAGGGAAGGGTTTAGGTTTTAGATCTCATTCCAGCTTGCCCCTCAGTCAAAGGACTTGTCCATCTCCTTGAAAGCTCCTTGCTAAGTTGGGAGCCAACTGGCCTCAGGGGATGTTTCCTACACTTCCCACTGGTGATGGGATTTGGAGCCTGGCATGTGCTGAGTGTGCCTGTCCTCAGCTCCAGTCTGTGAGTGCTGCTGCTCTTCTCTGAGCACACTGAAGACAGTCTGATGTCCCCCAGGGCCTGCTCAGCAACCCCTTCATTCCCTCCAAAATAGACAGGAGCACCTGGTTTTGCTTGGAAGGGAGGATGTACTTGCAACTCTTAAGCATGGAAACGCATTCCAGAGGTCACCTTCCATGGAGGAGGGGAGAGAGGGGAAGACCCCCCCAGCCCATGATGGGGATGTCCAGACATTGCAGTGCAGAGAAGGGAGTGGAGCTCGGTTCTATCTCATTTGCCCTCTCCTTTCCTCAGCCCCTGGTTTTCCCTTTTCCTCCCACCACATCCTACTTCTTCCACCTTTCCAGACTGCCTCCTGCACTCCTCTTCACCCCTTGTTTCTTTATTTCCTTTTTATCTTTGTCTTCACTGACACACTCTGAGTGCATCACGACTGACTTTCCTGACAGGCACTGCCTGATCCCCCCTGTGCCATTCCTTCAGAGGGGGTGTGCTTCCAGGGGCCTTGGCCAGTTCTGTAGGACATTGGGGTTTAGCTGACATCAGGCAGTGGTGGAGAGGTTTCAGTCACCCCTGCCTGTCACCCAGGGCAGTGACAAGGCTCCTGGCCATGCAGTTCCTGTGCTTGTGGCTTCACCTGCTTATGGTCACACCTGCAGATTCCAGTTCTCCTATGGAAAAGAGGGGCAGGGAACTGGGACCAGAGGGGGTGGGTGGGATGGGATCAGACAGAGTTCTGCCCCATACCTTCACAGGAAGGAATAACACATTCTGCTAACCTAAGGGAAAGGTGACTTTCTGGGAGCTGCACTTCAAGCTCATCTGCAGCCAGGAGAGCTCCTCACCCCCCCATTGCCCACACAATGGACTGAGTTTCTGTCACCCTGCCAGCATAACCCCAGGAGCATTTTGCCACTCACTGGGCACTGGACTGAACAAAAGCTTTTAGTCTCAGAGGGGATGTATCACACTGGCAGACCCTGCTGCTCCCTTTGTTGCAGGGAGTTGTTTATACTTGGGTTTATAATTTAATAATCTCCCTCAATCCTGTCCCATCACACCTCAAACATGCACTAGCACTGAGTGCTTTGGTTGGGACAGGAGAAGCTTCTGGATGTCTTTGGTGGAAGGTGGGCACAGGATGAGATAAGTCACCAGACTTGGGGCCATGGTATTACTTTTTTAAAATTTTTTTATACTTTTAAGATAGTCAGCCCAGTAAACCAAGAGAACTGGAGCATCTTCTCTTTCAGTTAGATAAGGGTCAAACTCTGTTTGCAGGAACAATGTTGCTGGGAGACTGGTGATGTGAGTCCCTCATCATCTGAGGGGTGATCCACATGGATGAGGATGACTGAGAGGACCAGAGTCTGGATGGAATTTGCTGGCTGGGTAGTTAACAGAGCTCTGTGCCTTTGGCTGGGAAGAAAACCAGAGTCAGAGATCAAAGGGAGATAGGTAGTACAGATCAGGAGGTGTCCAGACCCTTTCCAGTGTGCTGCTTTGGGAATAAACTAGCAGGGAGCCCCCAGGGTGCTCAGGGTTGGTTGGAGGGTGTCTGCCAGGACATGGGGAGGGTTGTCCCGTGCTCAGCTCTGTGCCTTGTGTCCCCAGCTGGTCTCGGTGCTCAGGGAGGTGAGTTACCTGTCGGGCAGCCGGGCAGGAGCCATCCCACCCACGGCAGCAGGAATCTACTCCTCCAGGGAATCCTACCGGCAGCTGGTGGCCAACCTGGAGCTGATGGGGAACAGGTACAACAAGGTCCTGAGAACAGTGCTGGAGGTGGAATATCCCCTGGTGCAGGGGCAGCTGCAGGATGTCGATGTGAAGCTGAAAGAGGCAGAAGAAACCCTGACCTGGAAGATGGAGGGTGAGCTGGTACTGGGGGAGGGGACAGAGCACAGAACTGTGTCTCAGCAGATTCCTCCCTGTGCCCAACCTCTGTCCTCTGGTTCCCAATGGCAGTTCCCAGCTGGACAGAGGACTCTCCAGCAGAGAAGGCACTGGAGAGATGAGGAGCAGCCCCCCGCTTTCTTGCTTCTTTCCACATTCCCTTGATCTGCTGGGGTTGTGGACAGGATCCTGCTACCCTCAGGTTCAGCCTGGGCTCTGGGCAGGAGAGGCTGCCCTGTGAGCAGTGAAATGGCAGCATTTGGGTTTGCAGGACCTGGCAAGGCTGGGGTTGAAGCATCTGCTCCCTACCTTGCTGCCCCCCTTGCCAGCCCAAGTGATGCCACTCAGTCACTGCTTCCTCACCCAACTGTGCAGGGAGTGGGAACCCTTTGGCCCAGCCATCTGGCACTGAGAACAACTCATCCCAGGCCACCTCATTAGCTTTTCCAGCAGGATGGAATAGTGCAGCTGGAGGTGTGTTTGTGCACTGGGATATCAGGGTGATTTAACCAAGTTCTTCCTTGAGCAGCTTTAGCTGCAAAGCAGAGCAGAGGGAGCCTCTTGGTGAGAGCAAACTGCTCATGGGGGGAATGTGTGTTTCTGTCCTCAGGCTTGTGGTATGAGCAGGACCAAGTGAATCCCTGGGGAACATGCAAAGCAGAAAATCCTCAGGCTCAAAAACTCTTTCTCCATTGTACAATGAAGTTGGATTTTGCTGCAGATGAACCCTAAGTTCCCTGCACCTGAATGCACCTGGGGCTGGCACAGCCTTCGGTTGGGGGGCCCTGCTCTGGTGGTGAGGGCAGGGACACTCAGCCTGCTGTTCCCACTCTCCCCACACTTCTCCCTCTGGGGTCAGTCACTGGGAGATCATCCTGGGTACAGGGGAGCAGGAGCTGTCAGGCATCCCCATGGTGGGGGTGCTCCTGGCCAGAAGGAGGCTGTGCTGGTCTGAACTGTGGCTTGTGGGGGAAGGAGGGAGGTAGAAGTGGCTGTGCTGGTCCAGATGAATCTCTTGCCTTAAGGATGGGTGAGAGATACATGAGACCTTGGGAAAACAGCCAGAGGCTGCTCTGAAGGGAGATGCACCAGAGCTTGGCCCAGCAGCTCTGAAAACAGGGAGTCAGTGGTCTCATTTCTCTCCAGGTGTGTGGGATCACATCTCTGGGGTCATGGAAGGTGTCCATGACCTCGAGCAGAGGCTGCAGAAAGCCAAGGACAATGTTGAGTTGATCCAGAGCATTGTGGGCTCGTGGGCATCTCCCATCCTGGAGAGGAAGGATGGTAAAAGGGACTCAGTGCTGAGCCTGGAGGATTGTCAGAATCACCTGGAAAAGCGCTACAGCCTTGTCAGAGAGGCCGGGCAGAGGATCCACTCCCTGCTGAAGGTGAGGGGGACCTTCCCTGGGGTTTGTTGGCTCCTCACAGGCTCTGTGTGTCCCTGTGCCAGTGAAAATGTCCAGAGCTGCTGCACCTTAAATGAGCTCCCTTAAGTCGTTTGAAAATCTTACCCAGTGTTAATTAATGTGGGCTCTGATGGGTGAGCTGGACTGGGGGTGTAGGGCTGTGGTCTGGCATTGCTGAGCACCAGCTGGTGACAGGACTGGGAGCAGCTGCAGCCCAGGGAAGGGTCTGGCTGCAGCCCTGGCTGCCGGAGCCACTAGAGGGGAGTGGTGCATCGGGTTTGGGATCCTGCTGCAAGGAAAAATATGCTCAGAGGTACTTACCTGCCAACAGAGGCAGCTGGCTGGGGCTGACCCTTCGGTTTCAGACTCCTTGTCCCTCTTTGGAGCAGGAGGTGATGCTGCCAGCCCAGGGAGAAGCTGAGAGACAAGAGAAAAGCTGCTGTCCCAAACTTTGGTGCTTTCCAGCATCTTTGACAGAGCTCAGAGTCCTCTGCAGACCAGGCGAAGGCCCAAAGCTCAGCTCCTCACCTGCCTGGTGCCAGGTGTTATGCATGTCAGGGACAGCCCTTGGCCTGGGGGGAGATGGTTTTATGTCCAGCCCTCTCCCGAGGGTCACTGTCTGGCCTTGGACTCTGAAGGGGAGCAGCTGGGTCTTCATGCCTCAGGATGAGCCTTTGAGACCCGCAGTGCTCCCTTCCCCAGGGCTGCAAAGCAGTCTTGAGTCCTGTGTCCTCAGAGAAGAGGGAGGAGAACAAGTGGCAGAGCTACCAAGGCTCTTCTGCACTCCATTTTCCCCTTGAGTTGTTCCAGGTGACAAAGCAGCCCTTGACAGGAGCAAATCGTGGCCATAGCACCAATAGCAACATCCATCTCTCCCGTCCCTCCAGGAGGCTGGTTCCCGTGGGCTCACTGGCGTCAGTCCTTAACTGTGGGCAGCTCTCTTGGAGAACAGACTCAGCCCTGCTGTGTTTGAAGGCATCTTCTTTTTCTTCCAGGAAAACCAGAGCCTCTTACTTGCAGACCCAGCATCTGACTCCTGGAAGGCCTATGTGGATTATGTGGATGAGATAGTCCTGGATGGATTCTTCACTGCCATTGAGTGCTCGCTCAAGTACCTCCTGGAGAACACAGGTGACACTGGTTCCTGTCCCCTGGTCATGGTGGCTGCTCAGCCTCTCCAAAGGAAGGTCTCCTGTTGTGCTCTTCCTCATGCCCACAAGTTGTTCTCTCCTTCCTGGCTTTCCACTGGGCGTCTTCCCTGTCTCTGGGGGAGCCTCCAGACAGGGAGGGTGACTCCATCACTGGATTCCTCGGAGGGGGGATAGAGATGAATGTTCATCACTTGCAGGGATTAATGGGTAGACAAAATTGAGACATCCTCCCAAGTCTGGGCTTGGGCTTCAGCAATCTCCCACCCTCCCATGCCCAAAGCATCAAGGTGACACAATCTTTCATTTGTGGGCAGTCTCAAGAGCTGGTTCTGCTCGTGAAAGTCATGAACAAAAAACCTCAGTCCCTGAGCATAAGTCCTGTGAAGAGACGAGCTGGGCTCAGCAGCCACTAGATCAGACATCCTGCCTAAGACCACCGGGGAGGTTCACCCCCTCTGCTGAGAGCAGCTTGTGTCCAACTAAAGCACATCTCCAGGAATGCCTCCCTCCTGGCACACTGAGTTGGAGAATTGCATCCAGTTCTTCACCATCTTGTTAAAAACTTGCACATATTGTCACATTTGCATCTGGCTTCAGTTTCTGGTTGCTGCTTTTTTTTTTCATCCCTTTCTCCACTAAATTAAAGAGCCTCTTGGTTCCCGTTGTTTTTCTCGTCTGCAAGTACTTACTTGCTGTAATTGTTCAGCTCTCAGACTCCCTTTGGAGTAGCTGAAGAGCCTGGTCTCTTTAAAGCTTTCCTCAGCATGTTTTCCAGTCCTTAAATCACTTGTGTCTTATTGGTTCCCCACTGTCTTCAGTGGGTACCACCACACCAGCTGCTTTGCCAGCATTTCCTCATGTTGTGCAGACACAACAGCCCTGGACTCTGTGAGTGAGTGTTTCCCTCCCACCTGCCTGCTGTCCCTGCTGCCCTGTGTGCATCTCCTGGTAGGATGTTAGTGGTGGCTCAAGATGCCTTTTCTCCCCTTGAGAAAGATCCTGGTTCCTCCCTGCCAGATCCCAAGGCAGGGCTTGCTCCCCTGTTTGAGGTGCAGCTGGATTTGGTGATCCCAGATTTGGTATTTCACCCATCCCTGGACCCTGGCACACATGATGGCTTCTCTGACATGGTGGAAAGTCTCCTGAACAGCATCTACCACATCTCCTCGTTGGTGCCCCGGCTGGCCACACACAGCGGCTTCCCCCACTACCAGGTCTGTGGCCATGGCCCTCCCTTGTGCTGTGTGGCAGTGAGAAGGTGCCCACTGCTCCCACCTCACTGTGCTCTCCTCTCCCCTCCTGTCCTCCCCCTCTCCCTTTTCCCCTCTTCCTTCTTGTCTCTCCTTTCCCCTCTCACTTCTCCCCTCTCCTCTATTTTCCCTCTCCTTTTCCCCCATTTTCCCTTCTCTCCTCTCCCCTCTTTCCCTTTTCCTCCCCTCCCCTCCTCCCCCCTGCTCCCCTCCTCTCCTCTGCCCTGCTCTCTCCTCTCCTCTCTCCAGGCAGACCTGGAGGACATGTCTGGCCTGGCTGAGCTGCGCCAGGAGCTGCTGTGCCGTGTCCAGGCCGTGGTGTCCTCGTGCTGTGAGTTCCGGGGTTCCCTGGGGCGCTATTCCCACGTGTACGGGGAGGACCGGCGGGAGCTGAGCCGGCAGTTCCTGTTCTATGGGCGCGTCCTCACGGCCGCAGAGCTCGAGGCCCAGGACATGGTCCCTGAGGCACCGCCCACGCTGCAGCAGTTCAGGGAGCACATCGACTCCTACGAGAGGCTCTACGAGGAGGTGACTCACATGGAGCCCCTCAGCACCTTCCAGGGCTGGGTGAGGGTCGATGTTCGGCCTTTCAAGGCGGCCTTGCTGAATGAGATTAAAAGGTGGAGCTTGGTGTTCAAGCAGCATCTCCTGGAGCACGTCACACACAGGTGAGGGCTGCTCCTGCCTCTGCTCCTGGGACCTGCCCTGGGATTCCTCTTGTCTTGACTGGGCTTTATTGTTTTAGACTGATAACCAGTTGAGTCATAGAATACCCTGAGCTGGAAGGGACCCACAAGGACCATCGAGTCCAACTCCTGGCCCTACACAGGCCACCCCAACAATCCCACCATGTGTCTGAGAGTGCTGTCCAAATGCTTCTTGATCTCTGGCAGCCCTGGGGTTGTGACCACTACAATAGCTAATAGAGGAGAAGGGTCCATGGTTTGTGCCAGCTCCATCACATCCCTGTGTCTTCCATCCCCTGGTCTCTGCTGGCGCGTAAACTGGGATCAGTGATGTGGACTTGGTACCACTGACATCCCTGAGGCAGTGGCCCTGGGACCTGCTGTGTGGCATTAAACAGGGCATGTGTTTGCCTGCTTAACCTGAGGCAAATAATCCCATCTCTGCTGGGGCTCTGGGCCTGCTTTGTAGGATTAGACGTTGGCCATCAGTAAAGCTGCATTAGTGTGCCATGGGGTACTTGCTCTGTTTCTGAAGGCATCGAAATTCAGGCAGCCTGTCATGAGGAGGTAGCTCCAGGTTACAAAAAGGAGGAGTTTGGGCTGTAAGTTTAGAAAGAACACATTCCCTGCTCTGAAGAGCTGCTCAGCCACCAGATCAGTGTAGGATGATGCCCCGGCTGATTTACTGGTCACAACTTCAGTGAAGTTGTGAAGGGTGTCCCAGGTCTTGCCTGCTCCCATAGAAGTGTTCACAGACATCTGTAGAGGAGGCAGCTGCGTGGGGTGGTGATATGATCTCCTTTGTCTTTCCAGCACCATAATTCTGTTAGATAATTTCTGTGCAAAGAGGTTTTTGTGTAGCTGTGAAGGAGCATTTAGGAGTTGTTATTGAGAGTCCCTGACTCAGCAGTTTATTAGGTGAAGTATTTAAGGATGCATTTAGGCCCAACTGCATCCACAGAATTTAAGTGGGCACTTAAAAAGTAAGTGCTTTGAGAGGTGGACAGTGGATGTGCTGGGAAGGACCAGAGACACGGGAGCCCATTCTGCCTCTGCTAAAAGTACCCAGTAGCTGGTGAGGTTAAGAACAGGGTAAGCAGGTATGGAAACATCCTCCAAACACCATCCTTGTCTCTGATGATTTATGGCTCAAGGACTTTGAGAGACAGGGATCATGCCTTTGTTTTTAAAGACCTGGATGGATTTTTTCCCTCTTACAAATGTCTAGTTGTTTTTCTGAACTGCTGTGAATTTGTATCACCTGCACCCTCTGCCTGCAGGGAGGGAGTTGCCTTGTCAGGTGAGGCAGTGTATGAAAAAGAATCCCTGTTTGTTGGAGCTTTGCAATCTGGTGGGTTCATCTGGGAAGATTGGATTCTTCTGTTGGAAGAGAAGGGGTGAAAACTGTCACAGAATCATAGAATGGTTTGGTTTGGAAGAGACCCTAGACATCGTCCAGTTCCACCCCTGCCATGGGCAGGGACACCTTCCACTGTCCCACGTTGCTCCAAGCCCCGTCCAACCTGGCCTTGGACACTTGCAGGGATGGGGCAGCCACAGCTTCTCAGGGCAACCTGTGCCAGGGCCACCCCCACAGCACAGACTGTCCTCTCAAAGGCACCTCTGCAGAGCCCCCCTGAGCTCACTGTTCTGTGACACTCCTGCTCAGCTCCCCTGTCCCCAACCTGGGAAGTCCCAACCTGTCTTTGTGTTCCTTGCAGGAAGCTGTACCACATCCAGGGATCCTTTTGAGCATGAATTGCAGTCCTGCTGCCCTTAGCATGCAGTGGGCAAGGAGAGCCAGGCCGTCCCCGTCCCTGCCAGCCCAGCTGCCTGTGGAAGGCTGGATGTTAATTCCACAGGAACTGCTCTGATTCTGTGCCTCCCTGCTTTGTGCTCCACAGCTTGGCTGACCTTGAGGAGTTCATCCAAACTGCTGAGAAAGGGCTGAGCAGGAAGGTCGAGAAGGGGGATTACAACAGCCTCGTGGAGGTCATGGGACACCTCCTGGCCGTGAAGGAGCGACACGGTGCCACCGACGCCATGTTTGAGCCCCTGAGGGAAACCATTGACCTGCTGAGGGCCTACGAGCAGCAGGTGCCAGGGGAAGTCCACCAGCAACTGGAGGTGGGTGAGAACCTGTGGTGGACACACAGTTTGCCAAGGAGCAGATGGCAAAGGCAGCAGGAGCCGAAGAGCATCGCAGGAATATTTAAGGCCCTGCTCCCTGTCATTAGAGGGCCTCAGTGGATAGTATTTTGCTATTGCAGGATGTGCCTTAATAGCTCTAAATTTTGGAGTTATATTGAGATTTTTCTTTTAAAGCAGAGATTAAGCCTTTTGTTATGTATGAAAAACATAGAATTGCCTGCTCCAACTCCCAGCGATTACTCTTGAAAAAATTAATGCATTTTCAAATACATCTGTTAATTAGGTTCAATTATAATTATTTTTAAATAAGCTGGTTCTTAGCAACGATGGAGATGGGAAGGATAATGTTGGCAGAGGAGTTGCCTTCTCACAGGACTTCAGGCCTCCACTGTGTCTGAACCACCGGATCTGCTTGACCCAGAGGGCATCACTGAGAGCAGGTTATGAAAGTATTTTGGCACCTTTTCACATGTGGCTATGATGAGTAAGTTTTCTTTTGGGAATTCCTTTCATTTCTAGAAAAGGGACCGTGAGATGAAGGTTAGTAATGATGGTGAAGTGCCCAACCAGCTTTGGGGACAGCACTGGCAACAGCCAAGGGGATGCAGTGGAGAAGTGTGTGGCTGCCTGCTGATGGGTGCCCTGTGGACCCCTGTGGGCAGGGGGTCTGTGCAGGGCACAGGGTTAAAGCAGGAGCCGCTGGGGAGGAGTTCCTGCCTTGCAAAGGCTCAGATGGAGCCGAAGGGGGTTTAGCAATCCCTGGGTTTTCTGCTTGTGCAGCCTGATCTGTGGGGGGTCGGTCACCAAATCTGGAAGAGTTAAGAGTCCTAAAGATAGCCAGGGTCCTGCAGACCTCTGAACACCAGCAGGGCTGCATTGCATGGGTGTTCTGGCTGCTGCAGCATCTTTGGTCCAGCATGAAGCTGGAACCTGACTCTGCTAATCCCTCTGCCCAGGAGCTGCTGCTGTGGTGTCTGTTTGTGCAAGTACATTCAAACAACTGATTTATTTTCCTCATAGAAGAAATGAGGATGTGGGGCAGCCCTGCATATGCAGGAGATAACAAAAAACGCTTATCCTTTCTGGCAAGTGGCAGCAACACGTGTGTGAATGATTGATTTGCTCCTGTATAGGGTGGGAAAACCAGTAGTTCCTGTAGGTACTGCTCCTTCTGTGGCTGTGGAGATGGATGGGTGTGGAGCTGGTAGTCAGTAGGAGAAAAGGAAGCAGCTCCATGTGTGCCCTGCTGTGGTCCTGGATAGTGATTTCTATTTGGAATGAGATGTGCCAGGGAGAGACCCTTCAGGAGCCCCACTCTGGTCACCTCTGCTGCCTCAGAGCTGCCTTCAGTTATTTCCCTTCTTTTCATAGTGTTGGTGGGTCTCCATTAATCTCCTCAAATATGTGAACTGAGCTGAAAAGAAACCCAAAATCTTTCCTGTAGGCTTGGACAGTACATGGGGAAGTGGGGAGAGCACAGCACTGGGGCTTGGGGACAGCAGAGCCCTTGGTGTCAGTGCCTGGGCTGAGGGTATGGCTGGAGAGGCCCAGTGAGGAGAAATAAAATCCCTTTCTGAAGAAAATGCCAGGTCTGGAGGGGGCATTGTCAGCAGTGCTGTGCACTCACAGTTGGAAGCAGAGCTGAGAAAGAACCCAGTCTCATTTGGTACTGATGTTGTATACACATCCTGGAGGGATTTGCCCTGTAGGGCTTTCTGGAGTCCTCCTGGTATAACATCTCCTGGCAGTAAACGTCCCAGGCTCTGTTCCTTTAGCTCTGGGAAGCCAGAGGAGTTTGCATCCACATCCATTCTCCTGCCTTCAGCTGTTCCCAGCAGGTTCCAGGCCCTGATGGGCTCGATGTCAGAATCACTGTTCTCTCTTGAGCACTGAACCATCCCGTGAGCCCAGGATTGAGTCTGGGATCTTCTTCAGTGGTTATGAACATGTTTTTACAATCAGAACAGTCAGTTGTAGGGTCTTGGTCTTCATTAGTGTTCAAAATTTTGAATAAGTGGGAATATTTATCCCAAATTGTGTCTTTAGCCTTTCATAGAATCACAGAATTGTTGAAGTTGGAAAAGATCTTTAAGATCTCACCCCAGCACCACCACCGTGTTCACCACTAAACCATGTCCTCAAGTGCCACATCCACACATTTTTTGCATACTTCCAGGGATGGGGACTCCACCACTGCCCTGGTCAGCCTGTGCCAATGCTTTGCAACCCTTTCTGTGAGTTTTTTTCCTAATATCCAATCTAAACCTCCCCAGGCACAACTTGAGGCATCCCAACAAAACTTTCTTACAGTCTTAGACACGGAATCTGTTGCTTTTCCTGTTCTGTGGTTACCCGTGAACAGATCAGGCACATCTTACACTGAACAGCAAGTCCTGCCTCCCAGCAGTTCTGTTTTGCCCACAGGAGCTGCCAGAGAAGTGGAACCACGTGAAGAAGCTGGCCCTGGCTGTGAGGCAGCATGTGGCTCCTCTCCAGGCCAACGAGATGACTGCCCTGCGCCAGAGCTGCGCCGCCTTCGACGCCCAACAGCTCCACTTCAGGGAGAGGTTTGGGAGAGAAGCTCCCTTCAGGTATGGACAGGTTATACCATCAGGGCAGCCCTGAGGGAAAAAAAGCTCTATGTGCTCATCTCTGCGTGTCCTGAGGATGCAGAGCCCTTCCATACCTGCTCCCAGTGCTGTGCCTGGGGTGTTGTGTCCCTGGGAACACTGTCCGGTGTTAGTGGTTTGGATGCTGAGGGCACATCGTTACTTTAAGGTGGCATTGGTAGTGCCATGTAGTACCATCAAGGTGTACTACAGACCTTTCATCTCTCCCATGTCTCTCAGAGGCACTGTTTAGTTTATGTTTTCTTTAGAAGTTGTAACAATGTCACTTACGAATAACAAACATTTATTTCTAGGTTTGACACCGAAAAGCCTTATCAACTGCTGGATGCAAAGCACGTGGAGATTAAACAGATGGAGTCAGCCATGACCTCGATTTCTGAATCAGCTGGTCTGTTTGAAGTCATGGTGCCAGAATATAAACAACTGAAGCAGTGCAGGAAGGAGCTGTGTCTTCTCAAAGAGCTCTGGGATATGATCTCCCTGGTGAACACCAGCCTCAGTGACTGGCAGACCACCAAATGGGTGGATATTAATGTGGAAAACATGGATCTGGAGTGTAAAAAGTTTGCAAGAGAGATTCGGAATCTGGATAAAGAAATGAGGGCATGGGATGCTTTCACTGGACTGGACAGCAAGGTGAAGAACATGCTGACGGCCCTGAAGGCGGTGGCAGAACTTCAAAACCCTGCCATCAGAGAAAGGCACTGGAACCAGCTGATGCAGGTGACGGGTGTGAGGTTTGTGATGGACTCAGACACCACGCTGGCTGACCTCCTCAGGCTCAACCTGCATAAATTTGAGGGTGAGGTCCATGGAATTGTGGACAAAGCAGTGCGAGAAATGAGCATGGAGAAAGTGCTGAAGGAGCTGAGAGCGACTTGGAGCACCAGGGAGTTCCAGTACGAGCCTCACTCCCGCACCAACATCCCCTTGCTGAAGTCAGATGAGGAGCTCATTGAAACTTTGGAAGACAACCAGGTGCAGCTGCAGAATTTGATGTCATCCAAATATATTGCTTTCTTCCTGGAGGAGGTGTCTGCCTGGCAGAGGCAACTCTCCACTGCCGACTCTGTCCTTTCCCTCTGGTTCGAGGTGCAGCGCACGTGGTGTCACCTGGAGGGCATCTTCATAGGCTCAGAGGATATCCGGGCACAGCTGCCCCAGGTGGGAAACCTCAAATCCTGCTTCCTCTTTGGAAAGCATTGAAGAAGAGCCTCTATTATTAAATAGAGTTATCTATAGTGCCAAGTTGCCCCAAGCAGGGCTTTTCTCCCACTGCTTCTCTTCCTGGAGGCTCCCTTAGTGCTGTGGTAGTTCCATGGGATATTTTTGTGCCACAGGTTGTGCCTGAGCTGTGCTGAGAGGCTGATTTTCTCCCCTCCACTGCTGCATAGCAAATACAGAGTTGCTGGGGCTGGGCAGGAGGCTGCTGGTTCCTTCAGTACTGCAGGTGTGTTCCCTCTTCCCTCGGAGGGGAGAGCACCAGGAGAATTATTCAGGCACTGCAAATCCCAGAATCACGGAATGTGCTGAGTTGGAAGGGACCCACAAGGGTCATCGAGTCCAACCCTCAGCCCTGCACAAGACCATCCCCAAGAGTCACACCATGTGCCCCAGAGGATCATCCAAACCCTCCTGGAGCTCTGGCAGCCTTGGGCCTGTGGCCCAGGCAGCTCTGGCAGCATCCCCTCCCTGGCCTTCAGTGCTGGTGCAGGGGGAGGGCAGCTCTTCTCCCCCTCCTGCTTTGGGAAATGGAGCAGAGTTGTCGTTGGTGAACCTCTCAGGTTGGCTTTGAGTCCAGCTTCCAGAGTTATTCCAGCCTGGCAACCGTGCTGAGGAGGAACGTGCCTTTCACTGAGGAGTGAGCTGTAGGTGCAGTGTTCCCACTGTCCCTGTACCTGTGCAGTGTCACTGAGGGGGGACTGGCCCCCAGACAGGGTGTGCACCTGACAGTTGCCCACCCTGTCCCCATCCCTTCCCTCTGGGCTACTTGGGCTGTTCCTCCTCTGCTCTGGTGAGTGCTGGGCACACCTGGCTTCCCACACTGTGTGTCCAGGGGCTGGTCCCAGAGCCCCAAGGGTTGTCCTGTGTGCCAGCATAATGTGACATCCAGCAGCTCTCTGGGGGTGGGTCAGAAACCACAGCATGGTTTAACCTGCATCTCACAGGGTTCTGCACCTCAGCACCCACCCGGCAGGTGCCACGAACCAGTAGCCAGTTCCCTTCCATAGCAGAGGATGAAGCTCAGATCCTCTGGAGGCTGAACCTCCTTGGGATGCATCCAGGGCTGGGGAGTCTGTGCTGACAGGGCCAGGATGCACATCTGGAGCTGGCTGACAGGCTGGGAGAGCTGGGGGTGTTCAACCTGGAGAAGTGAAGCCTCTGGGGAGACCTTAGAGCCCCTTCCAGTGCCTAAAGGAGCTCCAGGAGAGCTGGAGAGGGACTTGGAACAAGAGATGGAGGGACAGGACAAGGGGAAATGGCTTCAAACTGACTGAGGGCGAGTTTAGTTTTGATATTAGGGAAGAAATTCTTCCCTGTGAGGATGTTGAGGCCCTGGCACAGGTTGCCCAGAGAGGTTGTGGAATTCTCATCCCTGGAAGTGTCCAAGACCAGACTGAATGGAACTTGGAGCAACCTGGTTTAGTGAAGGCAGGGGGATCTGGATAGTCTTTAAGATCCCTTCTAACCCAAACCATTCTATTATTCTATGATTCCATGAATGACTTCAGCCACAGCCTTGCTACAGGGGCTTAACACAGGTTAGCGTGGAAGTGTTCCCAGGAAAGCTGGGAGCACTTTTATGCAGTGTCCTATCTCACTCAGGAAGCTCAGCTTGGGAAGAAAGGGGGAGCAGGGACATTTTGAACATAACTTATCTATTTTTCACTATTTAGCTTCAGAAATTCATGGTCTCTGTTGGGTGTCAGGGAACTCCTCTGCTGGTGGTCTGGGGTTCCATGGCCCTACTCAGGGCAAGGAAGGGCTCTGCTCTTCCAGCCACCACACCCACATCAGGATGGGCAGTGTGGCATAAGGGGACAGCAGAACACCCATGAGATTGGTGGCCTTTCCCCCATATGGGAGCATCTCCCCTGCTGTGATCAGGGAAAATGGGTAATTTTTATCTGGAATGGGAGATGAAGAGTCAGGAGGAGCTATTCAAAGGGGAATTCAATCCTGTGGGAATGAGTGGTCCTAGGGATTGGCTTCTGCACAGATCACTTTATCCACAGCTCCTGTGGGATACAATGACAAGGCAAAGGCCTGATTGGGAACTTGTTCCAGGCACATGGGTGGGAGAGCCCTTGGGGAGTGGAGGAGGGGTCCCCTCTGCACTGGCCAGAAGGCTCTCTGCAGAGGAGCTTTCCCCTCATCCCAAAGCCACACTCAGAGGATGGGATCCCTCAGCACACAATTTGTGTGTCACTGTGACTGTGTCCTTTGTGTCCCTTTTTAGGACTCCAAGTGCTTTGAAGGGATTGATGTGGATTTTAAAGAACTGACCTATGAAGTTCAGAAAACCCCAAATGTAGTTGAGGCCACCAATAAACCAGGTCTGTCCCAGCAGCTGGAGGACATTCAGAGGAGGTAGGTAGAAGGTCAGTCCCAGGATTTTGTTAGAGGGAATCAGCTCTAAGAAGTTGGTTGATATTGTGCTCCAAGGCTGTTTCTGAGGCTGTGCATTATCTGCATTCACAAATCTCAGCCTTTCCGACCTTTCTCAAGTCTTTTTACTTGTGACCCATCACTCTGAAACCCCTGAGTGGAGTTTGGCTTTGTGTAGGGGCAAATTCTCATCCTGACTATTGATTTGCACACGTTAAGGGCCATCCAGGTGGTTTGAACAGCTCATGGCCTCACTGCCACCCAAACACAGTGTCTGAAATAGCTGTATAGGGGTGTGAGAAGAGGATCTAGTTTGGATACTGGGAAGAAATCCTGCCTCTGAGGGTGGGGAGGCCCTGGCACAGGTTGCCCAGAGAAGCTGTGGCTGCCTCATCCCTGCAAGTGTCCAAGGCCAGGCTGGACGGGGCTTGGAGCAACCTGGGCTGGTGGAAGGTGTCCCTGCCCATGGCAGGGGGGTGGGACTGGATGGATTTTGAGGTCCCTTCCAACCCAAACCATTCCATGGTTCCATGATATCTGCAGCAGAGCTGAGCCCATGTTCTTTAATTTACAAAATTATCCCTGTGTGTGACACAAGGTGTAACAGCTCCCTGGGAAAGACCTGAGTGTCCTGAGATGGAGACACTGCTCACTTAACATATGAATGCACCTGAAACACACTTCAAAGTTCCCGTGGAGCTGTTCTGGCAGTAACAGCTCTCCATTTCAAATAAAGACTGGATTTTATTTTCAATCGGATAAGGCCAATGTTCCTCACAGAGAATGTTATTTAGGAACTTTGTAAGCTCAGCAGCAGTTTAGCATGTGAACACTGCAAGATTCATTTTGCAGATCGGAGCAAACTGGTTTCCTTTCATGCTTTGCAAACACAAAAAGCTGAGTTGGTTGGAATCAGACTTTAAAATGTGGCTCATTAGAATAAAAGCCGTTCTGGAAATGTTCATCCCCGTGTGAAACCACCTGTGGCAGTTTAGAGCTTGTCTAAAATAGTAGGTCAGACTGCAAATCTTTCCAACCTCTTCTTCCACCTCTGTTTCTGCTTTTTTATGAGGCTACCCTGGCTCTTGGGTGTTTGACCCCGGAGTAGAGAGTGAGCTGTGAGTTACTTTGTGCTGTGTTGATCTGTTCAGGAATGCTGGAGGGCAGCTGCAGGCTCAGCTTGTGCCTTGGATTTCCCCATGGTGGGGAGAAGCTGCTTGATAACCCAAAGGGCAGCACGAAGCATGGAAAGATCTTTAGCCCCCTGTCCTGGGCTCTGTTCATCTGCTTTGTCTCCACAGGTTGTCTCTGTGTGAGAAGGCTTTGGCTGAATATCTGGACATGAAGAGGTTGGCCTTTCCCAGATTTTACTTCATTTCTTCCACAGATTTATTGGATATTCTTTCCAACGGCACTAACCCACACATGGTAAGCCTTGGAGTGCATCAGCTTTGCATTTTGCAGCTGTCAAGAGTGTCACAGTGGAAAATGCAGTCTTGAGACTCTGCAGTGTCCTTTCTAGAGGACTTTTTCTCCCACCCTCATGTGGATTAACAACTCTTTCACAGCTCATCTTCATCTGTCATTCTGGACAGGCAGCACGTACCCTGGGTGTTTTCTGATCTAACTCTGGTGCTGCTTGTGGAAGGTTCTGGGAGCTCTGCACTGAGTAGAGCTGTGGTTTTGGTGCCATAAAAACTGGGGGTTTGTTTCTACTGGGACACAGCGAGGTGGGAGGAAACCACCTTGAAGGTCTCATCCAAAACTTGAATCCCAACCTGGGATGCCACTAAACAGCATCTGCTGTTGGAAGAGCCACAGACTGGTCATTCCAATGTGGAAGTGCTGATCACTGGTGGCTTGGAAAGGTCCCTTTCTTAGGGCAGAAAAGGCATTTGCTAGTAACTGCTTCTTCCTTCCCCCTTGCGAAGGGCTTTGGGGTGTCCTGATCGTAGGGGCAGGGAAGCACAGCACCTGGAGGGGGTGAAGCACGTGCTGGTCAGACAGTGGCCATGGCTCAGGGCCAGGCTGTGTGTCTGACCCTCTGCACCACTGACTGAGCAGGCTCCTCTGCTCCAGGCTGGGTTCCTGGGATGGTGCCTGAATGCCGGGTGGGGGGAATCACTCCAGACACACCATTCCAGCTGCTGTCTCGGCAGGATTGCTGGGGAGGAACTGGTAGGAACCTTCCTGTTGTAGGAAATGGCTTCCTGCTGTTCCCAAGGGTCAGGCACCTCTATCCCCCATGGGCAGAGCTCAGAGGATTCAGTCCTGTGGGTGCTTTTCCATATGGAGCATGGCAGTATTGGGGTTGGTTATTGGTGCTGCTGGAGCTGTGCCAGGAATCCTCAGCTGCTTCTCTTGGCAATGCTGTGCCCTGACTTGCCTGGTTTGGGAGGCATCATTGGTGTGTAAACCCAATCAACATGTTCACAGCAAATGGAGACTGTTTGATAAGGAATCAATTCCTTATTCCACCTTTCAGTAGTGAGTAATCTCTCCTTCTTTAAGCTTTTCCTCATTTTCTGTGTTCATATGAGCACGTGAATGGGGCAGGTTTAAAAATGCTGTTGTTGCCACTAAACTTTAACTTTGCTTGGATCTGTTTTCTGCTGCTGGGTGATTTAAGCCCACAGAGTGTCATAAATACACAGCTGATTGATACTTTAAATGGAGAGAAAGAAAACACAGGAAGCAGAGGAAAACTGCTGTGCTGAAGTGCTCTGTGGAGTAAGAAGAAATTCCTGGTGCTTTCTGTTATTCAAAACTATTTGCAGTAAAATCAAAGCAAATGTCAAGTGGGATCATACCTGGATACACTCTCAGCCTTTCCACTGTAGTTTTAAAGCCTGATAATTCCTAAAGGAGGATTAAATACACAATGATATTTATCTGCTTGAACTGGATATTGAGCTGGGGCAGAGTCAGGGGTATTCCAGGCTCCAGTGGCAGGAATGCTCCGAGTGCTGGAGCACAGCCAAAGCCCTGAGACTGGCCAGGGGCTAGCAGTGGACACTGGGAATTGCTGAGCAGAAACTTCCAGATGTAGGAAAAGGTTTCTATGGTTTATGTGAGATTTGAAAGCAGATGTGCTTATCTGGGAGGAGGCTGAGTGCCTGTGGCTTCTTGATCCACTCTGCATCTTCCAGGATTGGGCCCTGCTTGATCACAGGTAAGAAGATTGATGAGCTGTGTCCACCTCATGAGGAAGGTTGGAATCCTCTGGGGCTCAGTGAGTGAGAATTGAACAAACAAGTCACAGAATCATAAAACAACCTGAGCTGGAAGGGACCCACAAGAATCATCGAGTCCAATTCCTGGCCCTGCACAGGGCACTCCAACAATCCCACCCTGTCCCTGAGAGTGTTGTCCAAACCCTCCTGGAGCTCTGGCAGCCTTGGTGCTGTGCCCACTGCCCTGGGGAGCCTGGGCAGTGCCCAACCAGCCTCGGGGGGAAAAGCCTTTTTCTAAGATCCAACCTAAACCTCCCCTGACACAGCTCCAGGCCATTCCCTGGCTGCTGTCCCTGGTCCCCCCAGAGCAGAGCTCAGTCCCTGCCCCTCCTCTGCTCCTACCCAGGAAGGTGGAACTGCAATGAGGTCTCCCCTCAGTCTCCTCTTCTCCGGCTGAACACACCAAGTGCCCTCAGTGTCCTCACACACCTTCAAATCAAGGCCCTTCACCTGGCTGGGACAGCTCTGGGACCTACCCTTCCCATGGGAACACCAGTCCTGGAGAAGCCTGCCTTTGCTGCAGTGGTGTGTAACACACAGGGATTCAGCTGGGTGTGATGTCCTGCTCTAGAAGAAGCACCAGTGACCTGCTCTGCTGGTGTTGGGAGCCTCAGCAGCACTTCTGGTGTCTCCCCCTTGGCTTTGCAAACTCATCCAGGTGTGAACAGGACAGGACTGAATCATTCTGTTCCTTCTGGAAAAGTGCTTTTGGTCAGGGTGGGGGTTTTGTGTGGGATGTTGAGCTGTTTATCCTATGCCTTAGGCAGAAATAGAAATCTGGTTTCTCCGTGAAGGAAAATCCAGGGCTTTTCTTCAGTGCAAAATTGATTTCTAGGAGGGAAAAAGCAGGAAGATTCTTAATGAAGAAAACTCCACAGTGTGCTGAGAACAGGTTGAGGTGGAGCAATGGATGGAGATCTCTCTGCACTACATGAAGGGAAATTGGGACTAGAGAATTATGTGATGTTTGAATGGTTTCTGAGCTTTTCTCCTGTGGGGGAAGTTTCAGGATTTGTTAAGACATGTCTATCTAAATGAGGTAGAAATAGGTGGAGGTACTGAGAGAGACAGCAAGAGGCTTGTACTGCAGCATAATGGCAATGAGTGAGGAGATGTGGTGCTGCCAAGTGCTGTTCCAAGTCCTTGCTTTGTGAACGTGGCTGTCTCTGTCACATGCAGGGTGACCTCAGTTCTGCTTGTCCTGTCTCTGTGACTTTATTTATACAATTATTTTGCAGGTGCAACGTCATCTTTCCAAACTTTTTGACAGCTTGGCCAAGGTGAAATTCCAAGTGGACTCTGAGCAAAAGGCAATGAAGGTTGGCCTGGGAATGTACAGTAGAGAGGAGGAATATGTCCCCTTCAGTGAACCCTGTGACTGCAGTGGGCAGGTGAGAATGAGGGCCTTGTGTGTTCAAACTCTGTGGAATCTGCTTTTCTGCCCCTTGAGTGGCATCAATGGCCAAGACACTGTAGAGCTTCACTGCTCTTCCATTATGAATGAGAAAATCTGGAAGAGGTGCTGTGTAACTTTAATCCCTCCTTACACCACAGCTCTAGGCCCACTCTGGATGGATCCTCACTAAGTGGGGCAGAGGTGGCCCAGCCAACAGTGCAAAGGAGGGGTTTTCTATTCTAATTATTTTAAGATGTTTTGAGAGTTACTCTTACCCTCTCAGTTGGAAAAGGGAAGCATATTGAAAATAGATTAAGCTATTCCATAGTGCCTCTGCATGGCTACCTTTGGAAAGAGAAGGGTTTTTTTCCCGTTTTCCAGATCTTTCTTCTTTCATAGCATGAGTTGAAGTGCAAAATTTAAGAATCAAACTACTGCTCAGCTTTTCTGTCCCTGTAGTTGCACTTTTCTCCATGGACTATTATAAGAAGCTAAAGTATATAATACCAGCTCTGAGCTCCCTGGTGATGGAGCTTGGCATTTAAACTGTCCTCTCAGCGAGGGCTTTGCCTGTGAAATACTAAATTCAACAGGAATTGTGTTCCCAGGCTCTCTCTTGCTGCTGGCAGATTGTGCTCAGTCCCACGAGTGACTCTGTCGTGGCCCGGAGCTGGAACATGCTGAACTAAATTGCTCCTCAGTGGAGTTCATTTTGGTTCCTCCTAAAGCTGGAGTTCCACAAAACCTGCCGTGTTCCCTCAGTGTCTGGAAAGAGATGCTGATCCTTCAGGAGCAGAACTGGCTGAGTCCTGCAGTCCAAAGGAGGACAGAGGCGTGTTGGACTGCAGAGCTGAGCTGCTGCTCCCATTCCCTGGGCCACTCATGACCCAGGAGGAGCAAACCTGTTCCCGAGGTTTCGTGTCTCCTGCAGGTCGAGGTGTGGCTCAATCACCTGCTGGACACCATGAGGGCCACGGTGAGGGACGAGATGACGGCGGCTGTCACGGCCTACGAGGAGAAGCCGAGGGAGCAATGGCTCTTTGACTACCCTGCCCAGGTACCTGCCAGCGCTCCTGGGAAAGGTGGGGTGTGGCTTCCCCTTCCATCCTGCCCTTCCCTGCTTTCAGTCGTGGCCTCTGGCTATGGCTGGGGATGTTTCTGGCCTCTGCTGTGCTGTCCAGGAAGGAGGAAGGGCGAGTTCTCCTTTCTCCTGGCAATCCCTTGATGGATTCCCAGGCTGAGCTCTGTGCTCTGATTGGAGCTCCAAGCAGGATGCAGTCCCAGGACTTGGGCAGTGGCTGCTGCATCCTGGGGGTCATGGGAAGCCTGTACACCCGGAGAGGTGAGAGGTGCCACAGAAGAACAAAGGATGAAGCCTGATGAGAGGAAAGAGCCCCTTGGATGCCCCTCTGGCAGCCTCGTGATCTCCAGCTCAGCCTCCCATGTTGTCAGACATGGGAAAGGGACTCACTTCCTGAGGAGCAGCTGCTAAATGTGTCTGCCCCTGACAGGGTGTTAAATGGATGTCATGGGGCAGGTTCCCCCTGTCCTGTGTGCTGTGACACTGTGGGACAAAATACTTAATCTTATGTCATAGATGCTTCATCCTTGATCTCCCTGTGGATCAGAGACTCAAATGTGAGGAAGCTCTGGTGTTTCCCTGATACTGAGGCAGACTGTTTTTCCAGGTGGCTCTCTCCTGCACCCAGATCTGGTGGACAACCGAGGTGGGGATTGCCTTTGCCAGGATGAAGGAAGGCTACGAGAAGGCCATGAAGGAGTACCACAAGAAGCAGGTGGCCCAGCTGAACAGCCTGGTGACCATGCTGCTGGGGCAGCTCTCCAAGGGCGACAGGCAGAAGATCATGACCATCTGCACCATCGACGTGCACGCTCGGGATGTGGTGGCAAAGATGATTGCACAGAAGGTTGGTGTTCACAGCTCAGGCTGGTCCCGTGCTGGGCATTGGAGTGGGGATTATGGAGGGGTAGAGCAGGTACAGACAGATCACTGCCTGACTCAGTGGGAGGCACATGGCTCTTCTTTTTATAGTTCCCTTGCTCTGGTGTGGGGCCAGAGGGACCCCTTTGGGACTCCCTTGTCTGTCACTGCTTTCCCCCCCCACTGCCCTGGCATCACAGAATCATGGAATCATTTGGCTTGGAAAGGACCTTAAACCTCTTCTCATTCCATCCCCTGCCATGGGCAGGAACACCTTCCACAAGCCCAGGTTGCTCCAAGCCCTGTTTAACCTTGCCTTGGACACTTCCAGGGATGGGGCAGCCACAGATTCTCTGGGCAACCTGTGCCAGGGCCTCCCCACTCTCACAGGGAAGAACTTCTTCCCAATATCCCTAACCCTGCCCTCTGTCAATGTGAAGCCATTCTTCCTTGTCCTGTCACTCTGTTCAACGTGACATGCCCTGTCCAAAATCTCTCTCCATCTCTCCTTGGAACCCCTTCGGGCACAAAAAGGCCCCAGTTAGGTCACCCGGGAGCCTTCTCTTCTCCAGGCTGAACAGTCCCAACTCTCTCAACCTTTTCTCATAGCAGAGGTGCTCCATCCATCTAATCCCAATGTCCCTGACACTGTTTCATGTCCAGCTCTGCAGGTGGGTGGGAAGGTGCCCTGGGTGTGCTGGGTTGTGGTTGTACCCTCCTTTGTGTCCTCCCAGAGGCAGCTTCAAGGCACAGCTGGCCTTGATGGTGCCTTGGCCCAGTTTGGGATGCAGGTGTCTGTCTGTCCACCTGCAGGGCTGCTGCGGGTTGTGCAGAGTGCTGGCCATGGCTCCTTGTCCCCTGTCCCCTGGAGCTGTCTGAGGCCCCTTCCCTGGCTAAGCAGCCTCTCCCCCCTTTGCTCACCCTGCATTGATGAAGCCTCTTCATGCCATGCTGCTTCTTAAATCTCCTCTCCAGGACTCCTGGTGCTGCTCTTTCTCTTGGACATTCACTTTTTCCTCTCCCATGGACGTGCTTGCTAATTTGGTCCTGCCCTCTGCTGAAGGGAAGTGGGGAGGTGACATTGCTCACCCCCCCTGCCTTTGCAGTGACCAGTCCATCCCCAGTGACAGCTCCATTGCAGTCCCTGAGCTGTGTGTGGCCCCCCTGATGGTGCCTGTGGGCTCGTTGCAGGTGGACAATGCCCAGGCATTCGTGTGGCTGTCGCAGCTCCGGCACCGCTGGTCAGATGAGGAGCAGCACTGCTTTGCCAACATCTGTGATGCCCAGTTCCTGTACTCCTATGAGTACCTTGGCAACACCCCTCGGCTCGTGATCACCCCCCTGACCGACAGGTGAGTCCCTGGGAAACACCAGCACAGCCACGTGGCTGGAGGAAGAGCTGCCAGCTAAAGAGGGGTTTATTTTGGACACCCACACCCCTCTGGTTCTTTGTCTGTGTCCCTGCAATCCTGTGGCAGAGCTCCAACTCTCACCTGTTGTTACAGAATCACAGAATCAACCAGATTCTGGAAAAGACTTCTGAGATGGAGTCCAACCCATGATCCAACCCCACCTTGTCACCCAGACCATGGCACTGATGCCACATCCAGGCTCTGCTCAAACCCCTCCAGGGACGGGGACTGCACCCCCTCCCTGGGCAGCCCATTCCAAGGGCTGATCCCTCTCTCTGGGAAGAACTTCCCAATGTCCAACCTAAACCTCTCCTGGTGCAGCTCAAGGCTGTGCCCTCTTGTCCTACTGCTGGTTCCTGGGAGCAGAGCCCGACCCCCCCGGCTCCCCCCTCCTGTCAGGGAGTTGCAGAGAGTGAGAAGGTCTCCCCTGAGCCTCCTCCTCTCCAGACTAAGCCCCCCCCAGCTCCCTCAGCTGCTCCTCACAGCACTTGTGCTCCAGACCCTTCCCCAGCCTTGTTGCCCTTCTCTGGACACCTGGTTTGGGATTTTATGGTGTTGCCCCCTGGGGTGTCTGTGCCTCAGATCCCAGGGTGGGATTAGACTCCCAGATGCTCACTGTGGGTGTCTGCCTGGGCAAGGTGTCCACACCCTGCAGGATTGGTGAAGTCCAGAAGCTTTCATCTTATCCTGAGGAGACATTTGCCACTTGGTTCACCTGTCTCAGTGGGGATACCTGGGATGATGTGACATGGTCTGAGTTGTCCCACCTAGATTTCAGCTGCCAGTCTGGATGTGTGCAAGTCTCCTGTGGATCCCTTGTCATATCTTTCCACTCTCTGTGATGTTTCAGGAGCCATGAGCATCTCAGGTGGCTCTAGACCCCACGTTAGTCAGCTAACCCAAGCCCCCGTGCACTCTCAGGTTTTGTTGGCCATGGTGACCATAGTTCTGTGGCTTGTACAGGGGGTGCAGACACCCACATGTGGGCACCTCTCTGGGGTCCATCATCAGCCCAATAGAGTAGCTTTGGGACCTGATGCAGCCTTGGGTGGGAACATTTGTAGGCCATCAGAGCAGGCATTTAACCATAGTGGGGAGTGGGGTCCTTTGGGCTGAAGAGCACTGGGCAGCAAGAGAAAGGTCTTTCAGGAAAGCTAATCTTTCCTTATACTATCTGGGACATACCCAATGTCAATGAATGGTGTGAGGGTCCAAAGAAAGCACAGCCTGGAGGTGAAGAGGTTGGGCAGACCCCAGTGGAAGATGAGTATTTCTTGGATTTAAGGAACAGTTGAGGGAACTAGGATTGTCTAGCCTGAAGGAAAGGAGACTCAGGAGGGACCTTTTCACTCTCTACAATTCCCTGAAAAAAAGTTGTAATGAGGTGGGGGTCAGGCTTTTCTCCCTCGTAACAAGGATGAAAGGAAATGGCCTCAAGTTGCGTTGTGGGAGTTGTAGATTGGATTTTAGGAAAAAAATTCCTCACTGAAAGGGCTGTCAAGCATTGGAACAGGTGGAATCACCATCCCTGGAAGGGTTTCAAAAAACACATGGATGTGGCACTTGAGGACATGGTTTAGTGCTGCACAGAGTGGTGATGATGGGTTGATGGTTGCACTTGGCGACCTTAGAGGGTTTTTCCAACCTTGACCATTCCATGATTCTGTGGGGAAATCACAGCAGGGCAGAGGTGGTTGTTAATGCCTAAGAGGACTTTCAGCTTGTACATGGGCCCTGCTCGTGCAGAGCTTTCCCAAGAAGGGCTCAGGGCTCTCCGGAGCTCATTGCCCAAGTGCCATGTCCCTGCAGCCCAACAGTGACCTGTGGGACCCAGTCTCAGTCTCTTTCCCTTTTCCTTCCTCCCTCACCCTGGAAGGTGTTACATCACCCTGACCCAGGCCCTGCACCTGACCATGAGCGGAGCCCCCGCGGGCCCTGCGGGCACCGGCAAGACGGAGACAACGAAGGATTTGGGCCGAGCCCTGGGCATGATGGTGTACGTGTTCAACTGCTCCGAGCAGATGGACCACCAGGTACTGCTGCCCTGGGCCACAGGGCTGGGTCACAGAGTCACAGAGTCTGCTGAGCTGGAAGGGACCCACAAGGATCATCGAGTCCAACCCTCAGCCCTGCACAGGCCCATCCCCAAGAGTCACCCCCTGTGCCCCAGAGGATCAGCCAAACCCTCCTGGAGCTCTGGCAGCCTTGGGGCTGTGCCCACTGCCCTGGGGAGCCTGGGCAGTGCCCAACCAGCCTCTGGGGGAAGAACCTTTGGCTGAGATCCAACCTGAGCCTGCCCTGACACAGCTCCAGCCATTCCCTGGCTGCTGTCCCTGGTCCCCCCAGAGCAGAGCTCAGTCCCTGCCCCTCCTCTGCCCCTGCCCAGGAAGGTGGAACTGCAGTGAGGTCTCCCCTCAGGCTCCTCCAGGCTGAATATGTGGGGCTGGAGGTGCTCAGGGCTTGATGAAACCTGAAGGATGAGGGTAATCCAGCTGAGTTTGCTTAGATTGATTCTCTCCTCAGATCCCGGCTATATTCCTTTCTGCTAAACACTTTTTTCTCCTCCTCCCTTTTCTCCTCTAAGACTTACACAAGATTCTTCAGGAGGTAGAGACTCAAGCTGAGCTCCCTTCCCTTCCTTTCTGGAGGTAGACTCCATGTGAAATGCTTTGAAAATTTTGACCTGTTCAGTTGAGACCATCCTGGCTATTTCCTCTCAGCACACTCCAGGCTGCCATTGGGGAAGGACCTCTCCTGGTTTTCCCAGGATCCTCTCCTGGGATAGGGCCAAAGTGTGCTGGGTTTGTGGGGCTGAGCCCTGTGCTCTGCCACAGTGCAGTGGGTTTGTGGCTTTGAATCGTATTTTATCCAGCTCAGGTCTCTCCTGAAGGGGGGCCATCAGTAACTCAGCCCACTGACCTTTAAATGGAACTGGAACACAGAGATGTCAGAGAGGGCAATTAGAAAATCAAGAGGCAAACTGTGCAGAGCTATAAATATTGTAATTGAGTTGTGCCTGCTGCTCCCATGCACTTTCCTAAATACCCACAATAGGCTGTAAATTGCTATAAATAAACAGGCTGGGAAATAAAATCCATTTTTTGCTGGAGTTGATTCCACTTGTGATTTTACTCTTGTAATTTTATTTTATTTTTTTTCTTTTCAGTCTTGTGGGAATATTTACAAAGGCCTTGCCCAGACAGGAGCTTGGGGCTGTTTTGATGAATTTAACAGGATCTCAGTTGAGGTGCTTTCGGTGGTTGCTGTCCAGGTAAGTGAGGCAGAGCTGTGCTGCAGCCTTTGGCATGAGGCTAAATATGGCAAGTGCCTGTTGCCAGTCTCAGTTTGTGAGGACAGCTGAGGGATATATCCCAAGATTAATCACATGAATGTCACAGCATGGACAAAATGCAGCAGTGATGTGCTGCAAGCAGTTTTGCCATTTCTTTTCTTCCTCCAGTCACAGCATTTGTGTGGAGGCAATTCTTTACAGCTTTTTCCCCCAGATCAGCACCCACCATGTCTCTACCTGCTCCTCCTGAGCATGACACTCATGACATTGATGTGCTGGGGGATAATCTCAGTGTATCACTGCAGGGAGGAGATCTGCCCTGACTCATGGCTGCTGCAAATGCCACCTGGGGAACCATTTCTGTGAAGGGGAGGATGGTGTTTGGGGCAGATCCATGGGCTGCTGGACTTCTGGGGGTTACTTATTGCCTCCAGTCAGGCACAGGCTGTGGGTCATGTTCAGCAAACAGGAATACACTCAAGAGTCATTTTCATAGTGCTTACTTGTCCCCAGGGTGTGGAACTCCCTTCTTTCCTTCCTTTCTTCCTTCCTTCCTTCCTTCCTTCCTTTCTTCCATTCCTTCCTCCCCTTCCTCCCCTTCCTTTCCTTCCTTCCTTCTTTCTTTTCCTTCCCTTCCTACCCTTCTTTCCATTCCTTCCCTTCCTTCCATTCCCTTCCTTCCCTTCCCCTCACTGGCCCATTGGGAAATCTGGGAATGTTTTACAGAGGGGAAAGAACTATGGGAGGAGACTCCCCTGTCCAGGAAATGAGGAGGGGGCACCAAGGAAAGCCCCATGGGTGTGAGTCGCTCCTGGCAGGAGCTGAAATCTGGGCAGCCCAGGTATGACCATGGGGCAGCAGGATGAGAGCAGGCCCTGCTGCAACTTCTGGCTCATGTTTTGAAGGAGAGCTGGATCTGGGATTTGTCCAGATCCCGAATCTCATGGGAATCTGCTGAAAATGCCAGGTAAATCAGCTGCCAGAGGAGTTGTAGTGGCAACTGCATTGTCCAGACTCAGACAGCTCCCACATGGGCAGAACTGAAGGTTTTGAGTCTTGGGGGACTTCAGTGCTGAAAATTGAGGTGTGAAGAATCCAAGTTCTTCTGGCCCCAAGTGTTGGCTGAGTGCAGGTTTTGGGTTATGAATTTTTCCTAGACCCCCTCTCACTGAAGAGAGAAAGATCTAGAACCCAGAAGTTTCTAAACTTCTGTGTTTTGGTCAAAGAAGTTGTTTTGAACCCCTCCATGAACTCCATACTCCTCTCATCTCTTTCTCTCATCATTGTAGCCCACATGATGTCCCAAAGAAGTCCCCGGCGGGTACATGAGTTTGTGTGTCATTCCCTCTCCATTTCCCTTCCATCAGGTTCTAGTTTAAAGTTGTCATTGAAAAACGTCTTTGAGGATCTTAAAATAAAAAGGGAAGCTGAACAAAAGAAGCCCAGATATGACTCAACTGCTAATGATGCCCTGGCTCCTGGCTGGAGCTGTGTCGGAGGCACGGCTGTCATTCCATCATTCCTCTCCTGCCTGCTCTTAGGAGGGTAACCATGGAGATGGTTAATTGGCTGTCTTAGTCATGCAGCTTAATGTCCATGTGGGGCCTTACAGAGAGACCCCATTAATTGCTTAACTGTAAGATGGCAAACAGCAGTGAGGTGAGAGCAGTGAACAGAGGGAGTCCTCCCTCGCTCAAGTGCTGTTTGCAAGGTGATCTGGCTGTGATTGACTCTCCTGCTGGAAGGTGGGGAATGAAGTGATCTGGCTGTGATGGACTTGCTCTCATTGGAGTGGAAGGTGAGGAATGAGACGGTCTGGCTGTAGTGAATTTACTCCCTTGGAAAGTGGGGAGTGAGAAGAACAAAGCTGCCATCAGGCAAATAGAGCAGACCAGCCAATATTAGTGAGCGAAGGTGTCAGGGGAGGTCTTCCAGCTTCTGCCTTGTGGGTTTGGTTTTAAATTAGGCATCTGATGTCCCAAAGCCGTTAAAAGCAATATCAAGTGATCTGTTTGCAATTGAGCTAAGGCCAAGTTTCGTGGGAAATGCAGCTCCTTTTCTGGGCCTGCTCAAGGAACAGAGCAGGCACAGGAGGGTTTGGGCTGTCATGAGGAGCAGTGTGGGGAGGGGTGAAGGTGGGTGAGGGAATCAGGGACTGTGTTGTGTGAGACTCTTGGGGTGACATTTGGAGTTGGCCGTGCTGTGGGTGCCTGCACAGCCCTGCATCTCCTCCTCTGCTCTGGCCTCCTGCTACACTGGGAAGTTGGAAGAGCTGGTTTAGCCTTTGGGGGTGTTTTTGCTGTGAGATGTGCTGATGGAGATGATGGTGATGGGAGACTGATATTGCCACACAAATTTGCTCTAAACAGTGTGTAAAGCTTTATTTGGTCAGTAAACAACCAAACCAGAGCAGTGATAATCCCCAGATGTCATGGGCCAACGGGAGGGACAACAGTCTGGGGGGGTTTCATAACTGAACAGCAGCACTAAGCACTGCCTTGGTTCCCAGGTGAAGAGTGTGCAGGATGCCATACGGGAGAAGAAGAAATCCTTCAATTTTCTTGGAGAAGACATTAACTTGGTCCCCTCAGTAGGCATTTTCATCACCATGAACCCTGGTTATGCAGGACGAACTGAACTACCTGAGAATTTGAAAGCTCTATTCAGGTGAGTCGAGATCAAGTTTGTTACCTGTGTTATAAGAGTGGCAGAAATTGTCCTTTGGAACATCCAGGTTTGGCTTTGTTTTCTTGGGACATTCACTTGCATTGGGGATTTACAGATAGTTTCAGCCTTGTGCACCAAGCCTGGCTCTGGGAACACACGGGGAGGGCAAAGGAGCTCTGTGCCTGGGAAAGGCAGCGTGTGACCTGCCTCCCTGGAGAAGACCTGGAAGATAAAGCTCCAGACCCACTGCCCTTAAGATGTGTTATCAGTACTTGCTCTGCAGTCTCTTATTGCCTGTCTCCCCAGGCCCTGTGCCATGGTTGTGCCAGACTTTGAGCTGATCTGTGAGATTATGCTGGTGGCCGAGGGGTTCATCGAGGCCCGGGTGTTGGCCAGGAAATTCATCACTCTCTACCAACTCTGCAAAGAGCTCCTGTCCAAGCAGGTGAGCTCACTGCTGTGCCTGGGCCTATGCATTCCCAGAATCAGGAATGTGACACTCTGCCACACACCTCCATGACTGAAGCTTCACAGCTTTGATTTACTGACTGCATTGGTGGCAGCTGCTGGAAGAAGGGAAGGTTTGTGGTCATCAGATCTTCAAGCTGCTTTCCTGGAGGATCTGCAGGAACAAAAGCACTTGACCAACTACATTAGTGGGAGAGATTTCTCAAAGGGCCCAAATGGTACCATGGTTGGGGTGATATTCAGTGCTTTCCAGACTCTTGGCTCCTATTTTCCTGCCACAAAGGGTTTATGGTGACTATCCCTCTCTGAGTCCAACCTAACACTTCCCTGTCATGTCAGGTGTTGATAACAGGGTCATTTGCAGTGCAAAACTCTAATTAATCAGATTTTTCCTTGCACAGATCAAATCTGGGTCCAGTAATGAGTTGAATCAAGATTCCAGATGGAAAACCTGATCTTGGCTGTTGCAACATGAGCTTGGGTGGGGGATGCCTTGTCACAGAAACTTTGTGCTGTGCCCTGGAGGCCTTGATGGGAGCCATGGCCTCCTACACAAAGCTTTCAGCTGTCAGGCTGGGCTCTGCAGGTCTTAACAGAGCAGAAATAAAAAGGGTTGCTTGTTGGCTTGAGTTCCTCTCAGGCATCTTTGGGATTCCTTTTGAGCAGTGTCTGCTTGGTGGACTTTCCCCAAGACCAAATGTGCCTCGTAGCCTCATGATGGGGAGGATGGAGAACCTTGGGTGTCTGGGGCCTCAGAATGGACTAACAAGCCTTTCTGCTCAGTAGCTCCTGCAGATCCAGGGCTCTGGCTGGCCTTGCCTAAGCTGCATAAAGGCCAAGCAAACTGCTTTGTGATCTAGGGGGAAAAAATTGCTTAGGTCTCTGGAATGCAAATCCTACTGCTGACTTAGTGCCAGCTCTGAGCCCACGGCATGGCATGAGCAACTGAATTATTTGACTCTTTAATACTGTCCCTGATGGGAAGCTCACCTGCTTAAATGGAGATCAGGTAACTCAGGCTGATGGAGGTCTCTGGCCACAACACAGATAACCCTGAGATGAGCTCAGTTGGTTAGAGCCTGGTGCAAATAATGCCAAGGTTGTGGGTTCAATCCCTGGAGGGGCAATTCACTGAAGAGTTGGACTTAAAGATCCTTGTGAGTGCCTTCCAACTCAGAATATTCTGTGACCGTGTGTTTGACTTGCAGTATTTCTGTAGCTGAGTGGTCTGGCAGCTGGGAGCTGCTGGTTCCTCACTTGCATGGTGCTCATAAACTCTTTTTAATTGATTTCTCCCTTCCCCCTGCAGGATCACTATGATTGGGGTCTCCGTGCCATCAAGTCTGTGCTGGTGGTCGCCGGGTCCCTCAAACGCGCCGACCCCGAGCGCCCTGAGGAGCAGGTTCTGATGCGCTCCCTGCGTGACTTCAACATCCCCAAGATCGTGACAGACGATATGCCCGTGTTCATGGGGCTCATTGGGGATCTGTTCCCTGCCCTGGCTGTGCCTCGGAAGCGTGACCTGGATTTCGAGGCGTTGGTGAGACAGGCTGTGCTGGAGCTGCGGCTGCAGCCTGAGGACAACTTTGTGCTCAAAGTGAGACCAAGTGATGTTCTCTGCCTACACCAGCATCAAATCAGTTGGGTTTTCTCAACTTTGCTTCTACAAAGAAGGCTCTGCACAGTCACAGAATCCCAGAGTGGTTTGGGTTGGAAGGGATCTTAAAGATCATCCAGTCCCACCCCCGTGCCATGAGCAGGGACACAGGTTGCTCCAGGCCCTGTCCCACCTGGCCTTGAACACTTCCAGGATTAGAGCAGCCACAATATTCCCCTTGCAGATAGACCCTGATGGAGGACAGAGTCAGCTATGCTGGGTCTAATGCAGTTGCAGCTGCCCCTAAAACCAGCACTGCCTCGTCCCTGAGTTGGCCAAGGAACTGACTCTTGTAGGCTCATGCACATGTGGAGAGCACCCTGGAGAGCAGAGGCTCCTCAGCTGATGGCTGTCAGATGGTATTTCCAGGAGGTTTGTCTGCCCACTGAGGATTTCACATATCATAGTTAGAGTGCCCAGAGCAAAACAAACTCAGTATCAAGTCCATTTATGTCTCTGGGTCACAGCTTTCTGAAGGAGAGGCCCAATGAGAGCTCATTTCATAGAATCACAGAAAGACCAAATAGTTTGGGTTGGAAGGGACCTTCAAGGATATCTCATTCTAACCCCCTGCCATGGGCAGGGACACCTTCCACTAGACCAGGTTTTGTAGATCTGAACTTCAGTTTGGCATCTTTGTCTAAGCTGTGGGAGTGTGTTTTCCCAGGTGGTGCAGCTGGAGGAGCTGCTGATGGTCCGACACTCCGTGTTCGTGGTGGGAAACGCGGGCACGGGCAAGTCCCAGGTGATGAGATCCCTGCACAGGACCCACCAGATAATGAAGAGACGTCCTGTGTGGACAGACCTCAACCCCAAGGCAGTCACCAACGATGAGCTTTTTGGCATCATTAACCCAGCAACAAGAGAGTGGAAAGATGGTAAATGTCTTTTCATGCTGAATCTGGGGATAAAAAGGATGTTTTTAATGGACCTTCTGAGTCCAGCAGGATGGCCAGTCCTCTGTACCCAGGTCTGACAGCCCAGAGGCCTGTGTGCTGCTCCAGCCATGTGAGGGGTTGCTGTTGAAAGGACATGTAGGGTGGTTTAGCTTTTTGGTTATCAAATGGGAATTTATCCTTTTGCCATAAGGATAATTATCCTGTCCATTAACACCAGCACTTCCCAGTTCCTAACTGGGGCAGGTTGGTTTTCAGGGCTGGGCTGGTGATGGAAGAGAGTTCCCTCCTACCCTATGGTGTGCACTGGGGCCCCCCAAAATGTGCCATCCCCACATTTCCACACCCAATAGCACGCTCACAGACCTTTGAGTGGTGTTTTTGCACTATCACTGTCTGATTTCTAGCACATGGCATTTGCCAGGCTGTTGATCCTGATTGCTCCTGAGGAGGACAAGTGGAGCATTTAAAACCTGCTGAAAGATTACAGAGCTCTGGAGTGAAAACGTTGGGTTGTGACTAATCTGGAAAGGCAGCTTTGATTCCATGTGTGGCTGGTTTGGGAGGTGGCGGGGGGAGAGGTGGGAGGATGTCACCATAAATCATCCTGGGCCAGAGCTGTGCCAGGAGATGAGCTGCCACCACCTCCCCAGGCCCTGCCACAGCCCCTCCTGACCCTGCTTTCCTCCAGTGCCAGGGTTAATTTCTTTTTAGTTGTTATTGGGGACCCTAAATCAAAGTGACAGAGGGAAGTGTGGGATACAGAGCCCTGCAGAAGGGCTGCATTGGGGAATGAGGGTCAGGGACTGTGGGCGTCACTGGAAAGCAGGAGGGACATGGGCAGGTGGGTACCCAGTGGTCTCAAGCCTCTAATGTTTCAAGAGAACTCACAGGACTCCTCCCTGAGGGCTCAAGGCACATACTGTCTGCATTAACCATTCCTGAAAATGTTGTTTCTTGATGTCAAAGACCAGCTAGGCCATTTTCACCACAGACTGACAAGAGGATGTGTTCCCTTATGAATCTACCCCTCCTTTTCCTCTTCCCTGGTTCATCCTGTCACTCGTTTCATTGCCAGCAGTTGGAGAGTCTGTACATGTTAGGTGGGAAAAGGTCCCACAAGGGAATCTTAAAAGTGCTTTTTGTAGAACCAAACTCTCCCGAGGCCATTCTGTGGTGTGGATGCACAAGGTTGGGAGAGGGGCACTTCCCTCCCCACTGCCATTGTGGTGTCCATGAGGGAAGCACTGATACTCTGAGACAGGAGCTGTTCTGACACTAATGGTGTTGGAGTGTTTGCCAAGTCATGTCCAACGTGAGGAATGGAGTCAAGGCAGAGCCAGGGAAGTGTTACTTTTTGACCTGCTCTCAGAATCAGGTACCTGTGTCTGATGAGCTGTTCTGCATTTGTTATACTCAAGCTTTGTCTCAGTCATGTAACACCACCGGCCATTCCTGACCTGGATCACAAGGGAATAGCTTGTCCTGGAGAAAAAAAAAGAGAGGGCTTGTCCCAGTTCACCATCAGAGAGGCTGTTTTTAGTGTTTGCCTGCTGTTCCTTCATGCAGCCCAGCCTTTCCCCAGGTATTTCCTCCTGTGGAGGTCAGGGCTGGTTTTGTGGAGCTCTCATTTGCCCTGTAGTGCTGCTGCTCTATTCCCAGCTTCTTGCTCTTCTTAACATTCATTATTTACTCCCCTTGAGACACTGTATCCTCTCTGTCTCCTTGATTTCACTGACATTTTGTTCTGTCACTCAATGTCAGTCTGTGCTTGTTCTCCCCTCAATCTCACTAAAGCCATGACCCAGCGTTTAATGCATCTTGATTTCCTTGATACACTTCAAATCACAAAAAAGAAATAAATTATAAGAATTTCCAAGGCATATTCAGATGGTTTTCTCTGCATTGTGTAATTCATGCCTTCTTTTGTCTCTGAATATCTACTCTTCATTTTTCTTATCCCTTATGATTTGCAGTGGGAATGAAGCCTGTGTAGGTCTGCAGTCATTTTCAGTGATAATAACTGATAATGGCTTTTTTCTTCAAAGAAGATATCTTGATATAGTATTATTTATGTACAGATGTAAAGAGTTATGAAAGCTTAAGAGGAAGGCATAATTTTTAGTAACTTCTTAGAAAAACTTTTAAAGGAGGTGACAACTTCAGTGTTCATCAACATATTCTGTCACCTTCCCAGGACTGTTCTCATCAATCATGCGAGAGCTGGCCAACCTCACACATGATGGTCCCAAGTGGATGGTACTGGATGGAGATATTGATCCAATGTGGATTGAATCTCTTAATACTGTGATGGATGACAATAAGGTAATGGATACAAGGTAAAGCAGCAGGTATTCCTTGTCAGGTGTGATTCAGCCCAGGAGAAATGCAGGTGCTGAAATAACACCTCCTGGAATAATGCAATTGTGTTCCTTCAGGTAGACCAAACAATATTCCATAGAGGAAATGGTACATGAGGGAAATAGCTCAGAGTTTGTTTTCATTGGAATTTCCCTTTTCTGGAGAGTTGCTTGTGAGTAATAATGAATGTCCTGATCATGACTTCAGGCCCTTTAAAAATGGACTAGGGGCATAATTCTAGACCCCGAGGGAGTGCTGTGGATTCTGGGTTGAGGGAGAAGGGTCATTCTACTGCCTGTTAGAAATCATATCACAGACTCACAGAATGGTTTGAGTTGGAAGAAATCTTAAAGCTCATCTTGCTCCATCCCCCTGCCATGGGCAGGGACACCTTCCACCAGCCCAGGTTGCTCCAAGCCCCATCCAGCCTGGCCTTGGACACTTCCAGGGATGGGGCAGCCACAGCTTCTCTGGGCAACCTGTGCCAGGGCCTCCCCACCCTCACAGGGAAGAATTTCCTCTTAATATCTAATGCAAACCTACTCTTTGAGTCTGAAACTGTTCCCTCTTGTTCTGTCACTCCAGATCCTTGTCTGAAGTCCCTCTCCAGCTCTCTTGGAGCCCCTTCTGAAAGGCCAAAATTATGTCACCCCAGAGACTTCTCCAGGCTGAACAACCCCAATTCTCTTAGCCTTTCCCCATAGCAGAGGTGCTCCAGCCCTTGGAACATCTTGGTGCCTGCTCTGGACTCACTCCAACAGCTCCATGTCCTTCCTGTGCTGGGCCCCCAGGGCTGGAGGCAGCTCTGCAGGTGGGGTGTCATCAGAGCAGAGCAGAGGGGCAGAATCCCCTCCCTTGAAGTGCTGGTCACAGTGTTGGGATTGCAGCCCTTTGCCAAAGAGCTCCTCGGGAAGCTGGGCTGAGCAGCCAAGGGCTGAATGCTCTTCATGGCTGTTCCTGGGCGAGCTTCAGTCTGTCTGTCTGTCTGTCTGTCTGTGTGCCACATGCAGGTGCTGACCCTGGCCAGCAATGAGAGGATCCCTCTGAACCCAACGATGAGGTTGCTCTTTGAGATCAGCCACCTGCGCTCGGCCACCCCGGCCACCGTGTCCAGGGCGGGTGAGTCCCGGCGTGAGTCCCACCCTGGGATTCTGCACGGAGCAAGCAGAATCTAGTGCTGTTAGTCAGCCTTTTGTTGGCCAACTTGGTCCGTCCTGAAAGCTCCCAGCCTGGGAGCACAGCTGCCCTGGGTGTGCAGGGTCGCTTCCTGAAGCACATGGACAAACTGAGGATCCTGACCCTGGATCCACGTGGGGACCTGTCACCATGCTGGGAATGTACCCAGAGTGCTCTGACTGCTGATGTGTGACCATGGCTCCAGCACTGCTGAGACAGTGCTCCTGCACAGCTCTGATGGATGAGGAGAGGGCCAGTCTCTATCCCAAAATGCTCCTGATCGTTGGAGGGGTTCATGGGAGAAGGGAATGAAGGTGTCTCCTCATATCTGGGGCCCAGAGCAATAACCAGCCTCAGACAAGATCATGCTCAAAATTTGGGGCAGAGTCATGAAAAGTGTCCTGGTTTCCTGAGTTCCATCTCTTCACTCTTAATGTTTCTACTCTGCAGTGGGGCAGGAGGAGGGAGCAGGTAATGGGGTACCAGCTGTGTCTGGCAGGGTTTTAGTTGTGTGAAAGTAGCTGAGAAATTCTGCTGGGAAATTGTGGTCTCTGCTGTGTCCTCACTGTATGTTCTCTCTTCCTCTGGGCCTGAAGGGATCCTGTACATCAACCCATCGGACCTGGGCTGGAATCCCCCGGTGAGCAGCTGGATTGACCGGCGAGAGATCGAGTCTGAGAGAGCCAACCTGACCATCCTGTTTGACAAGTACCTGCCAGTCTGCCTGGACACCCTCAGGACAAGGTACCACCTGGAGGCAGGGGCTCACTCACCACTTTCCAGACCAGCTGTGCTGGGGCTGTGCTCTGTGTAATGTGTGCCCAGTGTTCTCCTTGTCCCCAGAGCCCTGAGTGTCGTTGACTTCAGCTGAGAGGAACATCAGGGTGAGGGGGCAGCTGACACTCCTGCCCATCCTTGTCTGGGCACATCTGTTCCTCACTGGATAGTGACTTGATTCTGTGCTTGTATCGGTTCTGTATCTCTTGGAAAGTTAATCCAGGAGATCCTAAAGAGGAAGTCTTTCCAGTCTCCTGATGTGTCAGCCCAGACTTGAGTTAACTCCACAAGTTATTTTTCAGCAGAGCAGATTTAGACCACTGCTGAAGGGAAGTTTTCCATGTGCAGTGTGGAAGATGGAGAGAGCAGATCCTCTTTTATCCTCTCCCCACTTCTTTTCTTGCCACATGTCTTTTCCTGCCCCTTGGGGATGAGAAGGAAGCTGGTGTTTGTAGAAGAGGGTGGATTGCTCTCCAGGCAGTCTTCTCTTGAATTTCTTTCCTGATGCATTTGAACACAATCAAGTCAGTCTGTGTGAGCATCCAGCTGGGCATGTTTCCTGGCTGGACACCAGACTGATGAACATGAAGATCTTGGATATTTGAAGGGGTCCTGGTGCTCCTTGGCTTGAGTTACCCTCAAAGTAGTGCCCACAGAGAAGTTGGGCAAGACCACAGTTCTTGCTTGTCATAATGGAACACAGCTCTCTGACCCACACAGTGGTGAGGACTGGCCAAAGGAGAGATCCAAAAACCTTGAGGGAGGGAGCTGGTGCTTGAAGGGGGCCTGTGAGAGAGAAGGGAACAAACCTTTTGGCGGGGCCTGTTGCAATAGGACAAGGAGTGATGGTTTTAAACTGAAAGAAAGGATATTTAGATTAGGTATTAGGAAGAAATTCTTGGCTGTGAGGGTAGTGAGGCCCTGGCACAGCTGGTCCAGAGAAGCTGTGGCTCATCCCTGGAAGTGTTCAAGGCCAGGGCGGACGGGGTTTGGAGCAACCTGGGCTAGTAGAAGGTGTCCCTGCCCATAGCAGAGGGGTGGACTGGATGACCTTTAAAAGGTCCTTTCCAACCCAGTCCAGTCTATGATTGTATGATTCTCCCATCTTCTGCTTGTTCCCCATAGCTGCATTTGCATTAAAAATATATATATGTAGAAAAAGAAGAAAAGTCAATGTACAACTCAGTTGTCAGCCCCAACGGGAAGGGGTCAGGAGGAACTGCTTTAGTGCAGGCAGTGCTCCTTGGGAGTGGGAGCTGGGAATCTTGCTAGGGAGCTGCTCTCTGGGTGCCCAAGCTGCTGTAGCCATTGGCAGCAAAGTCCATCTGACACTTCCCACCCTCTTTGCTGATCATTGTGTCAGCCCATGAAATCCTAGGATTAGCTGCAGCAGCCCTGAGCAGAGCATTTTGGTAGCTTGCTTAATTCAGAAATTGTAGAACCAACCTTTCAAATAGCTGTAATTACTTTATGGAGGACTTCAGTGCTGCTACAGTATTAGTTTGGAATTCTGTAAGTGTAGCTTAAACGAATGTAAAATGGCAAGATGAAAGGTTTGATTTTATTACTCCTCTATTTGACTGCTTTTCAACTCCTCGTGTTCCCAGGAAATCATTGCCTTCAGCAACTCTTCCATTTTACTTCTTTCAAGAGGATCAAAGTTTTAAAATGCTTGAAACTTCTGATTACTGTTATTATGTGTGTGTGCCAGTGCCAGAGGGCCCAGGGAAGGGATGGATGTTCTCCTTAGTGCTGTTCCGGGGAATGAGACAAGGAAAAGGGAATGAGACCCACACTGCTGACAATGAAAATACGGATGTTCTGACAAAGCATTCCTGCCTTGCCTTCTTGGGCTGAAGCAACCCTGGTGTTTCACCCAGTTGTATTCCCTATGCTCTCACTTTTCATCCCTTAGATTTAAGAAGATTATTCCCATTCCTGAGCAGAGCATGGTTCAGATGCTGTGTTACCTCCTGGAATGCCTCCTGACTGAGGAGAACACACCTTCTGACTGTCCCAAGGAGCTCTATGAGCTTTACTTTGTCTTTGCTGCTGTCTGGGCCTTTGGTGGATCCATGTTTCAGGACCAGGTAAGAAGGGAGGTGCCACATCAGCATCTTTCATACAGATCTCTTTTTTCTTTTTTTCTTTTTTTCCTACTTTCCTAGACCCAATGCTGTGTCAGTGATGGTGTTTGACCCAGAAACCTCAACTGAACAATCCCTTTTACTAAAGGCCTTGTTATCCAGGGGGTAACACCAAAGAATGTCTAGGGGCTCATGGGATGGAGGTGGGGGGATGTTTGCTTATGAAGAAACATTTCACTGGGGAGAAACATCCGGTTAATTTATAGCGGTGTGTGGATGTGCATAATGTGATCAAAATTAAGATGGACTGATCAGATGAATCCATCAGTGGAGCCTTATCCAACCACCTGACTGTGCAGGGAAATGTGCAGGTATAGCACAAACCTGTTTCTGACTGTTATTAGGTGGATGCTGAGAGTTGGGGGCTGCCCTCAGTTTCTGGTAGAATTACACAAGAAAGTCAGTGGGGCAGAGCAGAATGGGCTTTGTGCTCCCCCTGAAGTGGAACACCCTTGGCTGAGTGTGCTGGTGAGGCTGAGGTGGGTGGGTGGAGCTCTCAGGTTGACCTCCCGTCTGGGTGAGCAGCTATTGGGGGTCTCTGCAGTGAGGAGCTGGGCTTGGTTGGGGTGTTGGTGGATTATAAGGGTCCAGAAAGCTAAGATGATCCCCGATATGGGGGCAAAAACTAGAATACTTTATTGAACAAGCGAGTGCAATTTAAGGGTCTTGGGAGCTGGACATGTTAATGAGGAGGACAAGTTGTGTTAATTAGGGGATGGCTTTACATTAACTAGAGGATTACACAGGTTTCTGCTACAGTTACACAATTGCTTAATATTTTCCTTAACCAGGATTACATGAGGGGGAAGAAAACAAAGGGGTTTCAACACGGTTTGATAACTTCGTCTCAAAGTCCTTCCTTATCCTGCTGCAGGAGCCAGGTTAATCCACAGGATTGTACATCAACAGGTCTTGTGAGGAAGGTCAAGTCCTTCAGGTTAAGTGATTTCTCTCAGCTTCTGTTGCCCCAGGTTTACCACACAGATCCTAACAGTTCTTCTTCTGCGGGTATCCAAATTTTGGACTGCAACAGTGGATGGATGCCCATAGCCCAGGAGGGCACAATCCAGAGATCAAGCTCCTCTTGGGCTGTGAGGATTAATCAGCCCGTGGTTCATTAGCGGCACCTCTGACATTCAAAGCACTCTCTTGGCCACGGGGCAGAGGGAGACAGGGCCCTCCTGTCCTTGCTGCTTCCCATAGCACATCCATCCCATGGATTGATTGCAGCTGTCAGCCCAGAATCCATCTGTCCTCATTAGAGGAGGTGGGCGTGATCTCTGCCAGGGAGGTATCCCTGGGAGGCAGCACTGGATACTGCACGTTTCCAGCCCCCTCCCAGCTCCTGGTCCTTCAAATGTGGGAGAAGCACAAGCAATCCCAGCTGGGCTGAAACACAGCTGCCTTGTGGGAGCTGGAGCACGTGAACAACAGGGATCTTGGGAAAGATTTAGGCTTGCCTGGGGGAGGCAGGGTTGTTTTGCTGCCTCTATCTCTGCCCTGATGCCTTGTAAGCAGGAGGGAAGTGGGCATCTCCTTTTGCCCATGTCCCATTCTGCCCTGTTTTCTGGCCACGTGGCCTCGACACAGCCGGGCTGTCTCTTGATTTCCAAGCAATTGGAAAAGCTGCTGCTGTTTTATAGCTCCCAGCTGTTAGCAGTGATAACAGACAAGAGGCAGTGGGCTGTGTACTTGCCTGTGCTTGCAGGATGCCTTCCCAACCTCCCTTGGCATTGCTGTTTCCACACTGATGGCTAGGAAGGCTGGAGATTTTTCACGTGATTGGTTCAGGGCAGGCAGGAGAAACCTGAAGTGCTTGTAGAGGGATCTGAGGGCACGTGTGGTATGTGAAGACCTAGATTTGGAGTCCCAGGCTTTCAGCAGGTGGCACAGGATCAGTGGCAGTGTCTGCAAAACTGCTGCTGGAGGCACGTTTGGCATCGGCTGGAGCTGCTCACTCTGGTCCTGCCTGGTCCCTGCTGGGGCCTGCTGTGTGGTCACATCTCCTGGTCAGAGGATAAAGCCTGTGGTCCTGCCTATGGGTCTGCCCAGTGGCAGGACACTGCTGTCAAGGGCTCAGAGAGCCGAACCTGGTGTCTGGTAGGCTGCGTGTTGTCTGGAATATGTGGAGGTCTCTCCATGAACCTGACACCAGAGATGTTCCCCCTGCTGTTCTCAGGGGATGCTCAGGTGCTCACTGGGGTCCCAGTTTGTTTTGTCCATGTTCCTCAGTGCTAAACCAACAACATCTGCTGGACTCCTTTTGTTTGCTTCCAGCCAAGGAGCAGATATTTCAGGGAGGGATAAACATTGGTCAAGCTCAGCATGGTGCTCCCTCGGTGCCATCACACCTCATGGCCATGGAATGACCTGTATGAGTCCAGCTTTCTTGGGTCTTGTGGAGGATTTAACCCTCCATTCCCTGTGTGCCAGCTGGGAAAAACTCAGCCTTAGTGTTGTCAGTGCAGGATGAGTTGAAAAGCCAACAAACCAAACCTGGAGAGCATGCCTGGTCCCTGACCAGCAGTACAAGCTGCTGTCTCCTCAGAGGGGCTTCCAGTTCCTGGGGTGAGTTCCCTGGAGCGGGGGCGGGTGGCACATGGACACAGCATTCTCACGCCGTGGCAGTCAGTCCCTGGCTGTGCTGGCTCCCCAGGAGCAAGGCCATGGCACAGCTGGGTGGGTGGCACAGTGTGCAGGCACAGCATCCCTCAGGAGGGTGCTGGGCTGGCAGGCTGGGCCGGGCGCTGCCGCTGTGCCGCTCTGTAAATGTCAGCACCACGGCCCAGAGAGGGGCAGCCTCCTGAAAAATGAGCCAATATAAAAGCTGTTTATTGCTCCCCACCGAGGGGGTCCTTCGTGCTGACCTTTTGCTGCTGAAATGTCAGGACAAACAGGCTGGAAGGCTTCCTGTTGCTCTGTTTGGGGGTGGGGAGAGGGGCCCTGGATAAAAACAGATGATAGATTTGCCATTTCCAGGCTCTGAAATTAACAGAAATCCATATGGGGTTTTTGTTAAGGAAGCAGTTTGAGCTTGACACTGTTCTGGCAGTAGAGCTGGGGCTGGAGCTGCTCCACGTAAGGGCTCAGGGAGGCAGGCAGCCCATCCCACTGCTCTGCAGGCAGGGTAAGGGTAGCACTGAGAGAAAGCTTCTAGCAGTGCTGCCCGTCCCTCTCTGCTGCTCCACTGCCAGGCCAGGGGGTTGTGACAACGGGAGAATGGAGATTACAGTCATATTGTCCCTCTGGGTAGCACAAGACTGCAAAATCCTGGATACTAGTAATGTGTTTTGCAAATCCTCTGGTCTTTTGAGGGATGGTGGCTCGGGGGACTTTGCAGAGGGAACTCAGTTCAAACCCAGGATTGCTGATAGCGGCTGAGCAGTCCATGTGTGCTGGCCCATGGGGTGGCTGTGGGGAGGAGAGACCCACAGATGCCCCAGGAGCAACCTGTGCTGCTAAAACTGGCTCGGTTATGCATCTGGTCATTCACAGACATTTTTTTAGCAGCACTTTTCCCCTCCCTCCTCCACTTCTCCCCAGGGCTGAAGGTTGCAGTCCCTATGGTCTGTGTGGGAAGGCGGAGTGACTGGCCCAGTGTCACAGAGGAAACTTGGGGCAGGAGAGGGGACTAAGCATAATTTGCCAGTCCTGACTCAACATCTAAAGCCAAAACTGTCACCCTAGCTCTTGACAAGAATTCAGATGCTCCAAAATCTCTGTGCAGAAGATAGGATGGCAAAAAGCAGGAAAGCAGGTGCTTCTCAGGCACGGAAACAGCCACAGGAGCACGGTCCCTCTCCAGGGCTTTGTTACACTGGTGTCTGCAGTGCTGCTGCTCCTGCTTGAAAAGAGGCCAGAAAACAACCAAGTGTTTGCAGAGTGGTGTGATTTATGAGGAAGGGCTTTGGTATGCATGCTCTGACTGTCCGTGGCCACGGATGGAGATGGATGTGGTGTCCTTGTCTGTTGGAAGAAGTAGGCACCAAGAATCAATCAAGTGTCTGTTTAGGCATAGGCACGTATTTCTCTTTTTCAAATTGATCCATCTATTTCATCTCAGACAGACTAGGAGTGATCAACACAGAGGATGAATTATTTAGGGGAATAAATAGGAGTGATGAGAAGAAATGAAGAAATTGAAAAATTAGGCTTAATAATAGGAAAAAGGATAAGATCGTTATCTTGTGGAATATATTTTAGGGACTAATCCCACTCTGTTGGACAGGGATAGATAACATTCTCCATCACTAATGAATTTCTCCAGATTAGCATATTTTCTCCTGTCTGTCTTGCAGCTTGTGGACTACAGACTGGAGTTCAGCAAGTGGTGGGTGGCAGAATTCAAGACAATCAAGTTTCCCTCTCAGGGCACAGTCTTTGACTTTTACATTGATCCAGAAACAAAGAAGTTTGAGCCTTGGTCTAAACTTATTCCCCAGTTTGAATTTGATCCAGAGGTGCCATTACAGGTAGGTGACCCCAGGTGGTTGTTTGGCTGGGAGAACGTGTTTTAGTGACTGCACGGGGGTGTTTCAATGAAGTCTGGTGAAAAGTCAGGCGCTGCACACTAAGGATGGATACAGCTAAATTACCCATCCTCTGTACTGTGCTTTGACTGTCTCCCAAATCTGAGTTATGTACAGGAAGGGCAGGGACAGGCCACCCCAAGGACCCAAGAACTGGTGTGCCCCGGGTGCAGAATGGGGGAAACTGGCCTGCAGAGAGAAGGGATGTGAGACAGAGTAGGGACAAAGCCCCTGAGACAACATCTCATCATTCTGCCTGGCTGGAAATAGAGATAGGTTTATGTTTTGGCCAAAAAAAGGGTTCCTCAGGTGATGAACTGTGGTTGCCAGCTGTGCTTCCCTGTCCTTCCAGAAGTGCCACAGTGAGCAGATGACTTATAAAAACTGTCACTGCTTTAGCAAAGTGTGTGTTCATGGACAGATCCAGCTGCTGCTCGCAGCACCAGCCATCAGGGTTCCGCCTACAAAGATTGATTTTAATGGCTGGCTGCAGCGTGTCCTTCCCTTCCTAGTGCAGCCTGGAAACTGGGATTACCACACTCATTCCTGGCTCCCCCAGTTTTACTTTTCCCCAGGTCATGTTTGTACAGACCGGGAATGAGATGCTGGAGAGCAGTGCCAGGAAAGGGCCCTGGGGGTCCTGGAGGTGCCAGTTGTCCCTGAGTCAGCAGTGCCCTGGCAGCCAGGGGGGCCAACCCTGTCCTGGGGTATCAGGGTCCTGATACCTGACTGTCCTGCTCTGCTCTGCCCTGGGGCGGCCTCACCTCAACATTGGGGCAGTTTGGGGGGACACAATGGAAGGAAGAGATTGAGCCATTAGAGAGTGTCCAAAGGAGGGAAGGAGGATGGGGAAGGGCCTTGATTTGAAGGCATGTGAGGACATTGAGGGCACTTGGTGTGTTCAGCTGGAGAAGAGGAGACTGAGGGGAGACCTCAGTGCAGTTCCACCTTCCTGGGCAGGGGCAGAGGAGGGGCAGGGACTGAGCTCTGCTCTGGTGGGACCAGGGACAGCAGCCAGGGAATGGCTGGAGCTGTGTCAGGGCAGGCTCAGGTTGGATCTCAGCCAAAGGTTCTTCCCCCAGAGGCTGGTTGGGCACTGCCCAGGCTCCCCAGGGCAGTGGGCACAGCCCCAAGGCTGCCAGAGCTCCAGGAGGGTTTGGCTGATCCTCTGGGGCACAGGGGGTGACTCCTGGGGATGGGCCTGTGCAGGGCCAGGGTTGGACTCGATGATCCTTGTGGGTCCCTTCCAGCTCAGCACATTCTGAGACTCTGTGAGTCTGTGACATGGCTGTGGGGTGGTGGCAGTGATGGGGACAGTCACCTGCTCTTTCTGCCCCTCAGGCTTGCCTGGTGCCCACCCCTGAGACAGTGCGTGTGTGGTACCTCCTGGACAGGCTCCTGGAGCGCCGGCGCCCTGTGATGCTGGTGGGCACTGCGGGCACAGGGAAGTCTGTGCTGGTGGGGGACAAACTCTCCTCTCTGGACACAGACACATATGTGGTGAAGAAGGTCCCGTTTAACTACTACACCACCTCTGCCATGCTGCAAGGTAAGGCTCTGACTGAGTCACAGCTCTCCTGGCACCTTCCCGAATTCCTGGGGCAGCCATTGGGGTTTGGAGCGTGTGATCACTGGAGAGTTCAGGGTGATCACTGGAGAGCCCACCTGTAGGTGGGCTGCCCGTGTGGTTTGTGGGCACTGCACTGGCACCTGCAGACCCTTAAATCCCACAATGAAACTCTCTGGTCATCAGAGCCCTGGTTTTGTGGAAGATGTTGTTTTCCAACATGAGGATTTGAATCCTGAACCCCTCACCCTGAGGGCTGTGCCAAACACAGGCTTCATTCTGCTACTGTTTTTATGGCTTGTACTTGACTTGAAGTGTGTCTTTAATGTCCTGGAATTTAAGCCCGTGCTGAATAGGATAAGTTTCTTGGCAAGGATCCAAACTGTCCTCAGGATGCAATGATGGGAATTGCATCCCAATTAAGCAGAGGATGGTGCTAATGGATAAGTGCAGGCCGTAAGCCACGGCTGGATCCTGGGGCTGTCCTCCCATCCTGCTGCAGCCTAACAGAGCAGGTCTCACATCACCCCCTCCCCAGGGGCACAGGGCTTGCTGACTGGTGGGATCCAGAGCCCCAGGGAATGTCCATAAGGATATCTCTGATGGGGATTTTGGCAAATCAGTGAAATATTAAGTTTGATCCCAAGATAAGGTCAGTTTTACTGTGCAGTCTCTTCAGAGATGAAGAGAAAGGATGTAGTTCTGGAAAAGTGGCTCATTTCGAAATGGTGTCCCAAGAGAAATAAATAATTTTACATGTATTTACTAACCAGTAATGAAGCAACCTGGTTTGAGTTGAACAACAGCTGTGAGTCACTGTATATCACACTGCTTCCTCTATTCAGCTTGGTTTGACTCAAAAGTCCTGAAATCCTTCTACTTCCCCAGAGAAGCTGTGGCTGCCCCATTCCTGGAAGTGTCCAAAGCCAGGTTGGACAGAGCTTGGAGCAACCTGGGATAGTGGAAGGAGTCCCTGCCCGTGGCAGGGGTTGGAGTGAGATGAGCTTTAGAGTCCCTTCCAACCCAAACCATTCTGTGATTCTCTGATGACATGTGAAGCACCAGGCAGACCAAGGATTAACCTTCCCTGTTTGGTTGTTCCCAGCTGAGGGTGCCAGGTGGGGACACCTCCCAGCCAGGGGCAGAGCTGAAGGCAGGGAGTGTCCTGGGCTTCGTCCCTTCTCTGCCAGGCTCCCAACACTGCAAACATCCTAGGAAAGGTTTTGTAGAGAGGTGACAACACAGGCCCAGCCCATGCTCTGTGGGCTGGGACCATGTGACAGAATCACAGAACATTCTGAGTTGGAAGGGACCCACAAGGATCAAGTCCAGCTCTTAAGTGAATGGCCCATACAAGGATCAAACATGACCTCGGTGTTATTGGCACCATGCTCTGACCAACTGAGTGTTGTGCGGCCACAGCTGCTTCCTGGGGCAGGTTGGGAGGATTTCTGGGCTTGCTGGAGCCTCCTGCCTGAGCTCATCACCCCACAGGGCAGTGTCTGTGCCTCTGCACACAGTGAGAAGGCAAATTATTTGGCTTACTTGTCCTTCAAGACAAAAACTGGGTAAAACCTCCCCTTTTGGCCAGTCTTGCAGCCCTGGGGGTGTGATGGTTATCACAGAATCCCAGAATATGCTGAGTTGGAAGGGACCTACAAGAATCATCCAGTCCAGCTCCTGGCCCTGCCTGAGAGGATCATCCAAACCCTCCTGGAGCTCTGGCAGCCTTGGGGCTGTGCCCACTGCCCTGGGGAGCCTGGGCAGTGCCCGACCAGCCTCTGGGTTCCAGCCTGTCCTTTCCTCCCAGCATGGGGTCTCTGGGAAATGCCCTTGGGTTGGTGGGTGGGCTGAGCTGCCTGGGGGGCACCTGTGCTATGGGTGCCCCTCTGGCCTGGTGGGTGTGTGCAGGGGAGGGGGCTGATAGGGGCAGAGCTGGCTGGGTGTCCCTGTTTGCTCTGAGCTCTGGGCTGAACCCGTGACTTCCTTCCTCTGCAGAGCACAGCACATCTTCATCACGGGGATGAAGATGTGGCTGAGAGATCTGCTCTGGGAAGTGTGATTTACACAGCTTGGCCTCCTTCCCTTCTGCTCATTTTTTAGAGTTAATTTTTCCCTTTTGTTGGAGTTTGTCAGTTGGCTGCTTTTTTGTCGCTCGAGCAGGTGCCTCTTTAGATTTGTAAAATGTGCATACAAAGCAGTTTGGGATTTTTTATTTTTATTTACTTTAAAAAGAGCTTGAAAGCCAGGAATTCTTAGACAAAGTGCCTGCTGGGACAGAGATTTTTAAGGTGCAGAGCTGCATCCTTCGGGGGGAGCACAGAGTTGTCATTCAAACCATAACTGCAGGCCTATGGCTTACAGAATTTCACATGCATAAAGGTTAAAAGGAGCCAGAATCTCTCTGTGCCCAAACCTGGGACCAGTTTAGGGATTTTCTTTGGTGTATTGTGACCAAATACCACGTTCTGTGGCCCCTGATCTGCTGCTTTGTGCCCTTTTGGACCTCTGCTCCTCCTCACTGCTCCATTAGCCCTACCCTGATATCATTCCACACCTTCCCACTCCAGATCTGCCTTAAGAAAATGACAATAAATGTTGTTTTTTGGGGGATGAGTATTTTTTATCCCCTTGCCAGCAGGCAAGAGGAGCCACACTGGCCAAGTCTGGTGTGCACTGAGTGTTTCATTCAGGGGCTGCTGGGGGTGTGTGAGGAGCTCAGAGGCAGCAACAGGGACCCTCCAGAATTATCGTGGGATATGGCTCTGAATTAAAATGCAACTTCCACAAACATGTCACTTCATCCCCAGTAATTGCATTTCACTATGATGAATCTCCTGCATCCCTGTTTAACCTCGAAAAGGTCTGATTTTATATGTTAATTAAGGCTTAATTAAATTTAAATTAAATGCTTATTTGAAACACTTAATTTGACTTGCTACCAGAAATTTCAAATATTGTCGTTTTATTGAAGGGGGAGAGAGACTCTGCTGAGGAAAAATCCATCATTTTTCTGAGCACAATTCATGCCTTTTTGTAGCAAGTGTCTATGGCAAGAAAACAGCTGAATTCTGAGCAGTGGGCAAGCCAGACTGTCTGCAGGGAAAAAGTGGGGGGGTTAAAAGATTTGTCATCAAAAAGCCAGAATATTATTTTTTTTAAAATATCTCTGGCCCTTGGTAAGCAATGGCTGAAGTGAACATTTGCACAAGGAGATTTTTATTGAAATTCCTACTCATCCCTAATTACAAAGTGTTTCTTGTCATGCTGCTTAACCCCAAACTGAGCCAACGCAACAAGTTCTGTCTCCATCCCCAGGAGAGCAGGGAGCCCCTGAGAGCTCCCTCATGTCCAAGAAAGCTCCTTGGCAGGAAAATCATCCCAGGATCTGGGCAGAGGAGAGTTGCTGCTATGTGCTTTGCCACTTACTGAGGCAGGAAAGGTTGTTTGGGCTGCAGTGAAAGGAATCAATAAGCTGTAAAATATTATGTGCAGCAGTGTGGGGTGATTTGCATTAAATATCAGCCCAGCATCATAAATATTCCCCATATGTTATAGTCTAGAGCAACATATAACCTCAGCCTTCTGCTAAACAAAGGAAAATCTTTCAGAGCTTCGAAATGAGAAGTTTTCTCTCCATGCTGTCCTTTACTCATGGGTGACCCGACTGAAAACTGGGTGGGAATGTGACAGCTCATTTTGCAATTGAGTCTTGTTGCATTTTCTGGAGGTTTGGGTAATGCTGGGGAGGGGATCAGAGAACTGAACGGTATTTGGGGTTGTTCAGCCTGGAGGAGAGAAGGCTCCAGGGAGACCTTCTAGCACCTTCCAGTGCCTAAAGGGACTCCAGGAGAGCTGAAGAGGGACTTGGGAGAAGAGCATGTAATGTCCCATCCCTGGAAGTGTCCAAGGCCAGGTTGGACGAGGCTTGGAGCAACCTGGGATAGTGCAATGTGTCCCTGCCCTTAGCAGAGGGTTGGAACTAGATGATCTTTAAGGTCCTTTCCAACCCAAACCATCCTGTGATTCTGTGATTATATCTGGTACGTTCAAATAAATAATATTATTTTGATTGTTCTAAAGTTGTTCAGGATTTTAGCCCTGAAAACACCCATTTCCTTTGTCTAACAAGCATAAGAAGTGCATTTTCATTCACAAAATCAGCTTTGCTCCTGGGCTTGGTGCCCCAGTACCTCCTTGGTTCTATCCTAGTGCCCAGTCACTTCTGCCTGGGCTTGGGGGGTGTCTGTGGTACATCTGGGGCAGGGCAGTGGAGGGGACACACTGCCTCCGTGTTGTGGATCAGAATAAACTCACAAAGCAGGATTGAGTTTAAAAAAATGGGCAGAAGGGATTCAAAAGGCTTTATCTTGCATGAAAAGCCTTGTTTGCTCTGAAGTAAACCAGGCTTGTAGCAGAGTGTTTGCTGTGTTTTGTTTGCAAGGAGGAACCGAAAACTTTGTGATTTGGGTTGAGTCAGACCAAAAATCTGCCTGAGGGTCCCTGCCAGCCACAGCCTGGGGACAGCCACCATCCTGCCCTTGAAGGGCTCCTAGGTGCTCCATAAGCACAGCCTGGGGACAGCCAGTGTCCTGTGCCAAGACCAGCTCTTCCTCCCCAGAGAGCACCG